GAAAGAAAATCTTCACCATAGTTTCGCGGGCATCAGTTGAGTATCAGGCCTAGCTCCGTAGACCGCGAGGCTGCAAGCGCCCGTAGTGACTGACGCTGCCCAGCCTGTAAAATCGTCGAGACACCAGACCTCCCCCCTCCTATTTCGATGAGCATTGATTCCTCTCACGCACGCACATATGTGATGATCCTCCCGTCTGGTGTTACGCAACAAAGCCCGCATAAACGACGGCGAGGTCGAGGGCTGGCATACGTGGCTTCGTCGCTGCGACGTTTTTCCCAATCAATCCTGGGTTGCATCAACTGCTGGCGAGGTGGTAAATGGTCCGCGAACCAACAGCCAACGCCTCGAACTCGTCTCGCTCCTGTCTGTCTGCCTGACTGCCAGAGTCGCGCCATGTCGTACGTCATCACGGCTGCAGGAGGGCTTTACTCGCGTCTCTTGAATTTTTTTTTCTTGTCTGCGCCCTCTCATCCTTCGCCGTTGCATCAGCCACCACCATCACCACATGCAGGTCGGGATCTAGACCGTCCTTTTCCATTACAAATCCAGCTTGGGCTTATGGGAGGAGAAACTGTAACAGTCTGACGTTTGTCAAATTACCCATCATTGCTAATCTAGTTCAATCCGGACACCTCGTTCCTTGTAATGTAAACGTGGGGGGCGTGTAAAACGAATTAAAGATGGCCAACTATGTTGAGACCATCCAGTATCCCCAACAAGTCGCGGGATTTCGCCTCATGGTACATAGCTCTATTTGTACCAAATACATTCACTCGTAACCGTATGCATCCTAAAATCCTTCCCATACCGTCTAACCGTCGTAGTTCCATCGCAACAACGCCGTTAACACATCTAGGGTAGCCTAACCACCACTTGAGGATCATCAACATCTTTGGAACATTCCAGCAATCATTACTATTAATTATTAACATATGAAGGGTATCAAAAATAAGTTTAGTTGAAGACGATCGAAACCATCAACCTCGGGAGGTAGTGCGGAAAAGACTTGGAATACGCCCGATGAGTGACCGTGACGAGACACTCGACTCGGCGTAGTTCGTCCGGCCTGACACTCTCCTCCGCTCTTTCATCTCCTCTATGAACCTGGGCCACGTGTTGGTCAGGATCTGATACCGGATGTTGCTGTGGGTGGTGTCAAAGACGGAATTGCTGAATCCGCGCGGAATCTCCCCCATGTACCTAGCCCTCGCCTCTTGCGCGCCGCTGCCCTCCCCCAAGCTTGACCTTGGCAGTGAAGAAGGAGATGGTGGTTGCTCAATGTCGAAGCGTGTGGCGGAGTTCACTGTTGGCCCCCCACACAGCGAACGCGCGGGCTCCTCGAAGATTTCTTCCAAACACTTGAGCTGCGTCGCCGACAAATTCAGAGGGAATTCCGCGCGACGGGGGCTTATGAAGTCGGTGTATATCTGCAGCGCGGCGTTGTAAGCCTCCAGCTCCCGCGGCCCCTGGATAGCATCGGCGTAAGCTGACTTCCAGCTGGCGACTCGGCTGAGGAAGGCGATGTTCTCCCCAGAGAAGTCGCTGAGCGCAGCAAAGTCCTGGAGGGGGCTTGCGTTCGCCCTCAACACGAACTCGAGCGCACCCAAGGTGTTTACCTGATCGCTCATGTCTTCGCTGAGGAGGTGGTCCATCATGGGTCCTGCTTCCATTGGCATCGCTGATTCTTTGCGCACTTGGCTGAACAGGTGGGACAACCCAATGGCAGTGGCTTGGAAGGATGTTTCCCACCTCGCGTGGGAGGCAGCCGCCTTGTGACATTGCATTTGTAGCCTGATGACTTGGAAGACGGGGATGAAGACTGTGAATACTTCGAACATCATGATGGACAGATTAATCCTCCACTCTCGCTAGTTAGCCTACTACAACTTTGCCAAAATTCAGGTGAAATAGCTAGCCATAGCTTACCACTGGATCGGGTGAAAGTAATCATTGACGGACTCAAACGCCGGAACATATTGCGCAATCAAGAACATGGGCGTCGCATGGAGGCTAAGAATTCCATGTCAATATAATCCAGCCATCATGCGAAGAGCCAAGGCATCGTACTTGGAGATACAGCAACCAATAATCTGGGTACGCCAACCCATAGTATCACGGATTCCCCAAGACCGCCAGGTCAGAATGGGTGCTACCTTTGAGGGATGTCAGCATGAACAACGGGCGAGGGATATTGTACGTACGACCCAGGCCCAAAGGACCTGCCATAGAACCGATGGCCACAATTCCCAACCTCTGCCCAAGTCTATTATCTGCTCTGAAAGATTGTCGCCGTGGATCCCAGTTCCTGGGATTCCATAGGCAGGGTGATACTTGCGACAAGCCATCCACATGCCGATAGCGAGCACGACCTGGTCCCATCGTTAAATTCAGCAAAAGGCTCATGGACTCAATCAACCGGAGGAAAAAAAGCATACCTGTAAGATCATGCCAGAACTGATTAGGATCATGAGTTTGGCTGTGCACTCCAAATTTCTAAACCGGCAGAGGACCGAAGAATCACCGCCATTGCACTTCACCCGAACCAGAGGTTGACTGGCGAATTGCCTCTGCAGCTTTGCAATACAGATGAGGCGGCTGTTTGAAGTGTGCAACAAAGCGATACCGAGGGGGAACCATATAACTATGAAGAAGTATTGGATGTCATACGTGACAAGAATCGGGAGTGTCCTTCCAACGGGGTACATCAGTTGAGCGAGTATCCAATAGGTATGCAGCAAGAGAATGGCGGAGAAAGACAGGGGAAGCCCGCGAACTTTCAAGACGGGATCTCGACGATTGGTCCAGCAAATAATCATTCCCGCAAAAACGAGAGTGCTCCAGGTGCCGCAGAAGGAGACGAAGAAAATGCCGACTTTGTCCCATTTGGGCGGACCCGGGGGGATGTTGTAGACGGTCACATTTTCGGTCGTCGCCATCTCGTTCGATGATGCACTGATTGAACATGCGAGCTGAAGGAAGGTTAATGGGCGGAAAGGAATTAAATGCATGGGAAAAGACGTCTGTTATCCCGTCAACGTGGATGGGTGCGGGGTGCAAACCACATCCGCCAAACTCTGGAAAAGGGCCAGATCAATTGACCGGCCTCGCTCGGTGTTTCTCATAGATTCTTCTTCTATAATGATCTCTTGCTGTTGTTGATTCAAGACATGTATGGGCGCTTAGACTGTGCCCAATTTACCACCAAGAAGTGACAGTCTAGACCTTTGGTAAAAAGACACCATAACAACAGGTGAGACTTTGTTTCCTATTCTCCTGTTCCCTCCCTCAAATGTTCAATTTCCCTCCCCAGTTCAAGATAGACTTCTGATTAGATGATTTTTCTCAGGTCTGTAGGTGACTGTGATTGTTTTTATTAGAATCATTGAAGTTGGGTAGCAGAGACCATCGCGCACGACCAGCAATTTAGTTGTTCAATTGCAGCAGACAGACATCCCCATGAAAGGGAATAGCAGTAAATTAGGCTCTCATTTATATGGCTTGTTGGTTCAACTTTGCATTACCGACTGGGCAAATATTTACAGTCATGGTCCCGGCAGGCAGTGACTGAACGCGAGGTTTTTGATCATACCTGCACTACCCATACGAAGGGGATCAGGTAATCGTCAACACATTTCGCTACTTGCCATGCAAGAATATATATGCATGCCATGTAGAGACTACCATCTGTATGTCTATGAGAACATGGCACATTGCAGATCAGATCTCAGGCACCAGCCCGGCAACCAGCCGGCTACCCGTGATGTTGAAATTGAGATACTCAAACATTAAGCTGCTTTTTAAAGTCTGCGGCCGGTATCATTAGATTATGAAGTACGAATGATACATACTGTAGAGAAAATATAACATATACTACTATTTTCTTGTATTTTATGCTACTGATTTCCTCTATTGATCGTAGAAAGTAGTCTGTTTATTACTACTCTTCCATTTGGTGTCTCATTTCTCCTGTCGCTCGCCTCCCAGCATCTGCCTGCCGAGCCTCTGCTGTCTGATGATGGCACTAGTATTGTCCCTGCTTCTTTGTCTTCTCTGAGACTGTTTCGCGTAGAGCCCCAAGACATGGCTGCGATCGGCGTTCCCCTTGCAGAACGCTGAGATTGTTCCACATGGAACTAGATGTTGATGTTTGGATGCCCCCTTTAAATATCACGTAGCTAGAGAGGAAGGCACCGTGTATTTCGTTGCCAGTCCTCCAATCACCTCCCCAATACCTGGTCACTAGAACTAATCATTTCACCTAGGAGATACAAACACGCCAACCAAGAACACACACTGTTCATGAATATTCCTCACCCAGCACCGTCTCCCGGATCTCCCCACTCGTCGTCACGGTCAAATGATGCACTCTGGTCACGGAGGCAGACTAATGGCCAACGATTTCCCTCGCTGGCGCGCAGTATCAATTTCCTCGTGGCCTGTCGAAGGAGAAACTTGCATGCAATGGTTGGATGCGGCGAGCAGAATGGTCGAGAGAATTTTGATGAGCAAGTGCAACCATGTACCCAGAGCGCTCGCCCTCGAACAGGAGCCCTCAAACAGAACCTCAATGGGCTCTCAACGGCGGTGGGGCGGGCTGGATGTACAACGGCAGCCCAAATGATCCAAGCTTCCTAGATTGAAGGTCAGAATTACTCATCCAGTTATGGATGATACCAGGAGCGCCTGTTGGTGGGGTTAGGTATTCGTTGCTGGCAAAGGCGAAGAAGAGGGTGGCACTGGAGGAGAGGCACTGGCTGTGAGAGGTGTGGATTTTTTCGTAGATTGTGGCATGGCTTCTAGTCAACAGAGGTGCACGAGGGTTACTACGTGGGAAGAAGACCCCGGGAGACACACATCAGATGAAGTTTGTGTAGCGCCGCGTCTTGGCAACAACTGGTGAAATTATGATGGTTATGATGAAGGCGCGGCATCTTGCGTGTCTATATTCTACATATATTCATGTTGAGAGTATTATTTTGCTGAGCTCAGAGGGCAGAATGCGTCGGATGTGTGTGTGAGTGGTCGGATGGAAGAGCTTGCGTCATCTCTTCGTGATCCAACCGCGAGCGTGAGTCTTTAGAGATCATCTCAATGATAGTTTGAGGAATTCGTGTAACTCGGTAGTAGACATGTGGCCTACCTCACCAAGATAACCGGATGGATCATCACCAGTGATAGATGTCTTTATGACTTTGCGCAGGAACCATTTTGCCTCGACAAAGTGTCGCGAGTAAAGATTTTCGCTCAGTGTCGCCGGGTCTTTCCCACCAACGATCCCACCCCACAGCTGATGACATCGGTCAAGCGCTTGTTCCAATGCTGAGGCACATAGTGGCAGCGTCCCCGACAACCTTGCCGATGTCACGGTTGTGCTGAAGGCTGTGAAATTCTATGAGTATGTTGAGATATAGGAATCTTGGGGAGCAGGAGACTCACCTAGGACTAAAACAATCATGTCCGGTGTTGTTAGTGAGCGTAGCGGGAAATTATCTGGGGATGTCCAGGTTGGGCTGATTAAGGACTGGTGGCACTGCCAGAGCGACGCGGTGCGTTTGCCTCGACCTTGATCAATCAGCGCTTGGAAATGGCCGGCGGTCTTAGCTTCCCAGACATCTTCAAAGCATTGGAAGTCTCCTGTTATCTCAGAGATACTCATGGAAGGCGGCATGTTGAACAAGATTGACTGCTGGGCAGCAGACAAGAAAACCCAAATACCTAGCCTGATGTAGATTAAAGGCTCTGGTCAGCAGAATACCCCATGTCAATGTTTGGTTACCGAGGAGGGAGTTAAAACGGGCGTTTGTGGGAATATGCGAACCTGGTTTGAGTTTCCTTGAGGATGAACTCGTCCCAGTCCACCGGTTCTCCTTCGGGGACACGACTATGCCTTGCATTCGAGAAACCTAGCTTGCGGATGGTAGAAACAAGCATAGGAAGCCTACGGTCTCTGTTTCTCTCTCGCCTCTGCGGCTCGTTCATTATAAATTGTAAGCCATGCATCAGCAGAGAGCCCTGGAGAACTTGATTTAAACGAGCGAGTTCGACCCTCGAGTCGGTCTCCATGACGCCATAGTTGACGTACTTATCTACAAGTCCGCGTAGAGTATTGAAAGCGTACTCTTCAGCTAAATCGAAGAGGAGAGGCGCAGATAGAGCTACATCGCTCGGCGCGGCATGCATCGATCCGCAGAGAAACACAGCCATGAGGAGCACAGGATGGACCTCGTGTGGGTTGAAAGATGGGCGATGGACAATTGGGACCTCTGGGTGCGAGAAGCGGAAGAACTGGTGGATGAAGGATACGTTCTCGGGAACAAACACTTGCTTGGCCTGGTCCAGTTGGAAGTAGTACTGGGGCCCATCAGTGCATGATGAGAGCGCCGTGTGAAGATTGCTGAGATTGTCGATGATGACATTAAAACACCCCTCGAGTTTTTCAGAGTCATTGTTGGCGTCGGGAAGGGTTTCGAAGAAGGGTGCCCAGCTGTCGTCGGCAAGGCTTTCCCTTTGTCCCAGCATGCCGAGAAAGGGATCCTGGAACGGCGCTGGGGGCTCTATTGCGGTTCCACGAATATTGATATCTTTAGAGTTCTTCTCACAGCGGTCTTGACTTGAGAAAAAGAGATCAACAAGACTTCTTGCGCCTGGGCTGGTGACGGTGAGTAGGAACCAGGGAATCAGATCGACATCCTCAGCTGAGGGAGGGGAGCCCGTGGCCGAGGCGTCTGTGGCCGGTAGGGCTTCGTCCAGGTCATTTTCTGGAGTCTCATTGTGCGTGTCATCAAGGCTGGTGTGAGAGGGAGAGACCTGTTCTAGCCTGAGATATGTGCAGGCATGTTGACGCGAGGAACAGCGACCGCAAGGTGACTTGCCGTCACAGCCCAACCGACCCCGAAAGCAGGCATCACAAGCACGCCTCTTTTGTCCGCGGCGGAGTTGAGGCAGCTGCTCATCGCCGTTCCTCAGAGGGCAGGCCAGGAAGTGCTTGCGACATACATCCCTACACCGAGTCAATGAGGGCTACATTTTGGCTAAAGGGACAGTCATACTGGCGACCGAATGACTTATGGCAAGCAGGGCACTTGAAATTCGTTACATCTTTATCTAAACCCCATGATGAGCGAGGCACAGACCAATGATATTGTGTGTAGGCATGCATCTGGGTTGAGGGGGAGAGTCAGCATTTGGCAAGGCTTGGTGTGCCACTCACGGATTGCCTCATGACGTCGCAGATGGCTGACTCGCTGGTACTGCTTGCCGCAAACAGCACATGCCAGATCTCTCTGCAGTGGCGTGGTCATGGGTAGAAACAGACATAGACAGATGTTCCTCGGCTGGTTGTTGGAGGGAAATGTGCTGGGGATGGATCAACCGGAGAGCGTTCAACTGAGAACTCGGCCTGTATAGAGGACACGGGCCCGCTGAAGGTTTTGTGTTGGTGCTGTGGGTGGGTTCATTCCGGGGGGTTCAAGCCCGGACTAAACCCACCTACAGCGGATACAGTGAGGAATTGAATACAACTACAGCACGAGCTTTTGCAGAGAAGCTCAACACTCATCATATCTTCCGTTGAACATGTGATATCGATATTGTGCTGGTGAACACTGCCAGCCACCTCTCAGTGCGCCTAGAGTCACAGGTATCATTTAACTAAGAACTGAAATGCAGAAACCCCCACAAGAACACTGCTCAAGACAACCATTTTGTAAACCACGCAACAGCCTGCGCTTCGGCCTTGTCGGCACACTCTTGCTGATGGGGGTCATCTGGCTTCGTCCGGATAGCAAACCCGTGCTTCGCGCCCGGCATGATGACGAACTCGTGCTGGCCGGCATCCGATTTGGCCTCGAGCGCCTTCTTGGCCTGCTGCGCGACCGGTTCCTTCATGGCCATGTCGACGTCCCCGACAGCGATGCTCGTCGGCACCACGATGGCGTCAATGTCCTGGGGGACCTCAAAGTACGACGGGTGAGCTGCGAAGAAGGCATCGACCAGGGGCTCGGGCTCGGACTGGCTGCTGCTCTTCTGCGATGCGTGCCGCTGGACACGCGACTCGGCCTTGTCGTGGGCTAGGAGGACGCCGTGCTTGGCTCCCCAACAGAACCCTGCCACGCCGACCTTGAGGCTCTCAGTGGGAAATGGTGCCTCAGCGCGGCGGACATCCTGGAGGTAGGAGATGACGCGAGGGTGTGTGATGGGGATTGAAGCCTTGGTCTTGAATGGGAGAGCCAGCCTCAGGGCATGGAAGATGTAGTAAGGCTTGCAGAGAGTCTCAGTCCATGTCTTTGGCTCCATGATCTTGTCGAAATAACCGAAAGCCTGGAAGTCTAGCTCAAAGCCTATGTCGATGGGTTAGCGTCATGATGGAACGGGGTGACCGGGAGCAGCAGTACCATCCATGAAATCCGGGCAGTAGACGAGAAACCCGGCCTTGGCGTAGCGGTCAGACAAGACTCTGTTGTTGACAAACTTCCAGCCAAAGGCATCCGTTATGAAGATGATGAGGCCCTTGGGAGTGACCCCCGGCTCCGGCTTGGCAACATAGGTGGATCGACCGTGGATGACCTCTTCGGAGCCTGTGGGCTTCGACTCGGCGATTCCTCCACGGAAGCAGTCGGGGCAGGACATGGTCGCAAATTACTGGGTTGGTTGGCCCGTGGTGGGTGCAATGCGTGACTTGACTGACGATTAACTCCCTTTACATAGGTATGTCAATGATTTGATGGGATCTGCCTCCTTGGCCAGAGGAAGAACGACGACACGACATGAAATGGATGAGATATATAGCATGTCATGATCTGTTGGAATAGAGTGCCCATGAGCCCCTTCGGATTTAATCGTAGATAAAGAAACAGCACCAAAACCAATGCATGAGGAGCCCCAGTTGGGGGTCTTGCCCAGGGTGGGCGCCTCACAGCGCTTCCACGGTATACAGTCATTCATTGCCGGTGACTCAATTGGCCGTATCACACTGCCAGGATATTAGATAGCTAAACCTGACCCCTGCCATCGTACATGATCCGCCGGACGCGTTGCCGAGAGTGGATTGCTCATCCTGGCCTTCGGCACCGAATCGGCGTTTGCCCTCATGATGGAATATCACAACTACCGTTTATACCGTTTGCTCTCGTCCGACCGCCATCAGTCTAGGCGATGGCATCCGGAAGGCCTGACGGCTCGTTATGGTACGTCTTGAACAAAGGATCCCAGACCGTCACAGCTCTGGCTGAGATTCGCCCGTTCTGAAGCGCTGGCCTGGGTACTGGCAATATCTTGTCCGCCGAGCACTCCAGCGCTTCCCCAGCCAAGGTCTTGTCCTCCAAGCACTTCCTGTACGCAGCCACAATGGTCGATACTGGTGTGAGGCTGATCGAGGAAATTTTTTAGACGATTGTCAGCTGCGAAATTGAGAAGAAACGAGTAAAAAAATGGGGCTCACCATTCAGTAGAGACAGCCGCTACCATCTCGGGAGGGATGATCTTGGTCGCTACTATACCCGGGAGTACGCAATTGATGCGAATGTTTTCCTTCTGTTATTGAAACTGTATCAGAGAATCCTGTCATGCCGGGATTTTCTTACATCCCCGCTTCTTTGATCACCTACAAGGCTGAGAATACGTGACGTTGCCCGCACGAAGTTCATGACCTAGATGGTTATGTTAGCCAAGAGCTCTCATCACTCGGCAGGTTTCCGTCACCGGCCATTCTTCCATGCATACAAGAGATACACATACAGCTGCCTTTGCTCCGTCATATTCGGGGTATGTCTCATGAGGTGTTACAGCCGCTGCGCTGGCCGTCACCACAATGCTACCGCCTGGAGTTTGGTTCTTGCGCATGAAATGAATCGCTAGCTGTGTTCCATATACAACCCCTTTGTAGTCCACATCGGTACAGAGGAGGTCGGGCTTCGGTGGGATTCTTTTCTGGGAGTGTGAGATTAAACTCTCTTCCTCCTTCCGGGAGGCGACAAGGGACCAAATACTCACACATCTGCGCCCCGGTGGTCGAATATGAAGATGGAGCTACCTTCCAGTCAGCACCTCGTCGATCAAGCAGTTGCGTCCCTAATTGCCTCTTATCTACTATGCCTGCATTGGCACACAGTGCGTCCAGGCGCCCATACTTGTCCCAGACCGATTGGAAGCACTGGGCCTGGCTGTCATAATCGGCGACGTTGCAATAGTGGTAGCTGGCATTCTCGCCGAGCCTGGAGCTGAGGTGGGCATTTTCTTTGATGTCGGCCATGGCGACTTGCCATCCTTGACTTGCCAGGTCTTCAGCCAGGGCTTCTCCCATCCCCGACTAGAGTGGTCGTGTAAGCTTCTCTGTTCCACGCCCGCCAACCTGGTCCAAGCCACGTCTAACTTACCGAAGCGCCGGTGACGATGGCTACCGGCTTGGAGATCATCTTGCTATTGTTGTTTGATATCTAGGGTCGCTTACTCGCGGAACAGTTCACTGTAGCAAGTATACGCGGCAGCCCAAGGCCGGACTTAACATCCAGTAAATACCTTGATTCTCCCTATATTCCTAAACATACTTGCTGTAGGGCTATCATTCTCCACCGCGAGATCTACACTACTGATAGCCTTCGGAGGACCAGGCCCGTTCCACTGGGAACAGAGGAGGCTCTCGGTAAGAACTTTCGGCAATTTCTATGAAATACACCTCTCTCCGCTTGGTCGTAACCCGGGTGAGAGTGTCCCACCTCATTGAAATGCGGGGATGCGCAGCCTCAGATCTCAGTTGCAAACGCAAAGTTCAACCTGTGACGAGGGTTCTCATCCCATCTCGGAGTCGTTTTTCCTTTCAAGGCTGCAATCCTAGCCTTCAACCCTTACCATTCAGATCTCCGTCATCTGGTCTCGCTGAATAGGATTAATTGCACCTGCACTAAATCATGTGCTGTAAGATAGACATTGACTACGAGTCATTAGTGCCATTCATTGTTCAAGCTCACTCGCCTTCTCGTACGTCGATCAAATCAAATCCAAGCCAGCCTCAAAGCAGCCAGGACTACGTTTTCCGAGGGGTGGGTCTAAGTTGGGTTCCAACGTCGAATGAACTTGGATACTGGGGATCTTGGGGTGTGTTTGATGAGATGGCTTGTGTTCTTTAGAAATCTGCATTCTGTCACGGTCCATATAGAATGGACTTAGTGGTATCGGTTGGTCAATCACCCGCACTCACCTTGAATCATTAAATAGAAGGATATCCCTGCTTTCTCTCTTGTGCGCAGGTGCAGCAAGCATCCTCACAATCTGAGGTGCCAGTTCCTAAAATCAAAATATACGGAATCATCTACAAGCGCAATTCGTCTCGCCATGTCGGTCGCAGAGGGCGAAAAGGGCTCGACTGACGTCGAGAAGGTTCAGCCAGCTTCTCCAGTTCACGCTGAGCATGCGCCAGAGAAGGAGGCTTCGTATATCCCACAGAGTGATGAAGAATACCAAGTAACGTTCAAGACGTGGATCGTCGTCTCGGTGAGATTGCCCCGTCTAGACAGAGGCACAGTTCTCGATTGGATTCATGTTATTGATACTGTTTCCATGTAGATCCTTGCTTGTTCATATGGCATCTCTTTTTGGATCGTGCCCGCGCTCAGTGCATGTCAAGCTGGTGTAGCAACTCAGCTGGGTGATGCCACCAAGCAGGCATGGTATGTGCCCATCTACACCATGACTGTGACCTTGGCCTTCATGTAAGTACGGGGCAAGTCGAGGGTTTGCAAGGGAAATGTCCCATCGTCCTTTTCAACTCGAGCTAACGACTGGATGACAGGATTTGCGGTGCCAATTCTGATCTGTTTGGTCGCCGATGGTTTATCATTGGTGGAAACGTGCTTCTCTTCATCGGCTTCATCGTAGGAGGGACGGCCAAAAACAATACCTCCTTAATTGTCGCCCAAGCGTTCATTGGATTCGTAAGTAATCTCCATCGCTTCAAATATCTCGTAGAAACCCCCAATACTCACCATTTGGCAGGGAGCTGGAAACGCCCAGCTGGCAGCATTTGCGCTGCCAGAGCTATTGCCCAATAAGTGGCGACACTCGGCCATCGTTCTAGCAGGTAAATCATCCCGACCCCATTACTTATTCCAAGCCATTAATATTTCTATGTTCATTCAGATGTCGGTGTGTATTTTGCCGTCATTGTTGGGCCTGTCGCAGGCAGATTCGCCATCCAACATGGCGATCAGGTTCGTCTTGCTTCCACTAATCCTTCACTCGAGCGTTTATTCCTTTACTCAATTCTTACTGACAACTCCATATCAGTGGAGATGGCTTTTCTACGGTCCGGCAATTGCCGTAGTCTTCTCCTTTGCTGGTCTTTATCTCTACTACTATCCTCCAAAGCATCCCCGCGGCTTGCCAACTGGTCAAGCACTCCGTGAACTCGACTACGTCGGGGTCGTTCTCTTCACGTTGGCCACGACACTTATTCTTACTGGCATCGTCTACACCACGAGCCTGGCTTCATCAGATCCTACAGTCATTGGAACTTTGTGTTCAGGCTTTGGCTGCCTACTTGCTTTTGCTCTATGGGAGACTTTCGCCCCTCTCAAGCAACCGTTGACACCCACTCGAATCTTCACTCGCGACAATGGAAGAGAGCTCACCGCCCCTTTTGTTGTTGGTTTTGTCGGTATGTTTGCAACGACACTGCTGAAAAACTTTTACTCTGTCAGTCTAACACAAATCGTGGATAGTAACGATGTTCTATTATTGCTTGAATGTCGTCTACCCGACCATGATCGCTGTCTTCTTCACAGACGAAACCACCGACTTCCGTTATGCAGCTGTTCTCACGCTTCCTCAGAACCTCGGTCTGACATTTGGGGCCGTCCTGCTCACCTGCTTTGGATCGATGATCGGTCGCTGGCGATGGACTCTGACGGGCTCCGTCACCATCATGGTCGTCTTCGGTGCCCTCTTGGCACTGGCGACTCCAGACAGATTCGGCATGGTCATTGCCTTCATCTTCCTATCCGAGATTGGTTTCGGCTGGGCGCAGTATCTCAGCATTGCGTACATCCAGTTCGGCACTGACCAGGTCGAGCTGGGCATCTCTGGCGGCCTTGCGTTAGTCCACTTCCCATCTCTTTCCCTCTCACTTGCAAACTAACAAGATCTGTAGGGGCGTAGCTCGCTTTGCCGGCGGATCCGTCGCCATTTCGATTTACCAAACCATTCTGACCAACGTCCAGACAAAGGAGGCTGCCAGGCTTATTCCTCCGGTGGTTATTGCTGCTGGCCTCCCCGAGACTTCTGTCGAAGGCCTCCTTGCCGCTCTCCCCCTCGGGTCGGCTGCCCTCGCCGAGGTGCCGGGCATCACAAAAGACATAATTGCTACCGCGGCTGGGGCTTTCAAGCAGAGCTACGTTGTTGGCCTGCGTACGACGTGTTTGTCATCACTATCCTTCGGGGTAATTGGAATCATTGGTATGTTTTGATCACATATTGATGAACGAACACGACTAGGAATTGCCTCTAATACTTTGTCGCAGCATGTTTATTCTGCCAAGATATTGAGCACAAGATGAACGACAAGATTGAGATTTTCTTGGAGAACGATACAAATGCAGACAAGAACAAGTACCATTGATCTTCGGTTACAGCTATGGCGGGAGAGACCATGCTCAGGATGGCCTGTGTGTGATTTGATTGAATTTTACTAGGAGATACCCTTTACAAGTTACTATAATTAGGTAGTATCAAAATTCACAAATTCGTACCACCAGTTATCCGGATCTCGTATGTCTCAAGCTCTCCGTAGGTCTCAAGCTCGTGAACACATAACATGGACATCAACATCTTCTCAGGACTCAGCTCAGTCTTGGGGGTTTTTTTGCTTCCGCCCAACCAGTTACCCATCGTTCAACTAACTGGACCTATATTATTCAATATTTCGCCTGGCAATCTTTGGATCCCCATCATACATACAGGTTACAAATTCGTCACTGAATTCGCCAAGACTAATGCAAGAGTCTGTGTTCCCGTGATGAGATGCCATCTCGGAAAACCTCTACCGAATTCCTTTTGTAACAGTTCACCCCTGCACCCAGACCTCCCAATCCTCGTGTGCCACCCATCTGTAGGAGCTACTGATTCATTATTCGACCCATCTCAGTTTGTTACGGCGGTAATAAGATGATCGCCCCGTTCAGCTTTGGCATGTGGAGTTCAAACATGTTGCTCTCAGCGGCCCCGTGGGGAAAGCTGCTGCCAAGGAGGGAGCTAAAGAACAAGGTCGCAGTGGGTTGATACTTATTCTGGATATCAAGTGCCTAAGACATGGAAATGGTTGGCCGGGTGTCTGTTCAATGACACCGGAGGATGGTTGCTATTGAAACTTGGAGTGTTGCTCACGGGTCGTTTCATCCAACCGTGACATCAACAAGATAAGTAGGCATAGATTCAAAAAATGTAGCAAAACAAACGATCCGATTCACTCATCAGGGTCGCTACTACTCTGTCTCCCAGTAACTCCAATGTCTCAATCACTGCCCATCACCGAGAGGTTCTACCTCTTCGGGAATTGCAACATTGTCCCAGACCGTTACGATGACGTTCGTTAAAACCCATCCATTCATCTGACCTTCCTCAACTCTGCAAACCAGATGCTAACTTCAAGTCACAGTGGCAAGCCGCATACGACAAACTAGCGGAACACGTCTTCGCCAATGAACCCAACACGCTCACCTACTACTTCGGCATTCCCCTTGAGCATGCGGCTGATCCATCCCGCACCGACTCCATGCTCGCTTTCGAGATCTACAGCTCCCGCTCAGACCTCTACGACATCCATCTCAAGTCCAACGTCATGCAGGGCCATTTCCTTCCCAATGCCGGCCCTACCATGACAACAGGTCTGGACCTGACACATTATTCAGCCGTAGGCGGATTCCTCGACCGGTCCGGGCAAAAGAGCGAGTGCGGCGTCATGCACGATATCCAGATCCGGTGCAAGGATAAAGCAGCAAGGACCGAGCTGCTGGGGGCGCTGAAACTACTGTGCGGCCTGGTAGAGAGTGCAGAGGGGCAGGATGGAAAAGTCCAGACCTTTTTGGGGCTGCAGTCGCTTGATAACGAAGAGGGGGCACGTATATATGCGAGGTACGAGAGCCGGGAGGTATGGGAGACGTGGCTAAGGAGCAGTCTGATCAAGACGTTCTGGGAGGCTGCCAAGCCAAATGTCGCCAGTATGGAGGCTCGAGCGTATGCACCCAATGGCAAGGGATGGTTATGGAAATAATCAAGCCTTCCAAGATCGTGCTGCATGAGCGTTCATAAGCTAGCATGAATCGCCTGTTGAAGTCAAGTGCCACAAGTGCAGCCTCGATTCCATCATATCTATACCTTGGGAAAGATGAGGCATTCAACTGCGGTTTGCTTGATCAATTGAACTTTTCCGATCGATAGTGATTGATGAAGAAGTATTAAGGCGATAAACAGTATAGATATATATTTAAGACGCTCATCACAGATACAACAAGGTATTTCCTGGTACTGAGACACGTATATAGTAGATTAATTTTGTAATGTCGCTTTTGGGCGCAATAATTCGGCAGGGCAGAGCGCAGAAAGAGGCCCATCACACTCGGTTTGGTCTTGGAGCTGGTACCAGTAAGGGAGCTCGGATGCGAGCCAAACGACGATGTCTAGAACAGCTGCAAGCACCCCAAACGGAGAACAGAAATCGAAAGGCCCTGTTTGCCGTTTCCAATCATTAGTCGATCTACAGCCACTCGGTAACGGATGGGGCAGGAGGTAACGACATACGCAACAGCAGCAACAAACCCTTGCGCAGCACGGAACATTTCATGTTTGGTGTTCCAAATGGTTCTGCCAGCCTCAATATCCTCGGCTCTTAACCTGTAGTTGGAGAAGACCACCATTTGAGAGACATTCTGATCACGGAGGTCCGAGAATAGCAGTAGCATCAAACCCCCCATGCATACTGCCAGCGAGAAGAGGTCGTGCAATACGGCGCGGGGCGGCGACAGGGGTACGAAGTTGCCGGTGGTATCGACATTGGACACCATTTCCCAACTATCGTTGAGGAGAGCGATTGCGGTCTGTGGCAGTACATTGTGAGCTCGCTGAAAAATGCATTGATACGTGGCAGCGGAAACAGGGGTGGGCGAGACAGGACCAGAGAAGAGTCCCAGGACGACGGATTGGGTTGTTTGTTGGGCATGAACCTACACCGACAAGGCCAGCAGCAACCGTGCCGCCTTTCTCGGGCCAACACCTAACGATATAGCCCAGAATAACAATGGCGCCCAGGTCGGTCAGCCAGCCCAGAAGGCGGACTCCGGAGTGGAGGAGAGCATAAAGGGTTGGGAGCTGCCGATCGGAGGGCATTCCAAGGTCGGGAGTCCAGGCGATGCGCCCGAGTCTGTCCTTGGCCGATGCGTAGGTACGCAGCTGAAGCTATATCGAGCTTCTCGAGAGGGCGCGGGCGACACTCGCTATAGCTACTGCATTTAAGGCGACGAGCTGGGAATGGAACGAGCTGCCGAGATCATTGCAGTCGGGCTGTATGTCGACCCGTAGTTACTGACGTCTTGATCGGGGCAGCAGAAATTATGAAAATTAACCAGAGCTCGGAGGAGTCGCAACGAGGTGGAGGCGAGGAAAAGGACGAGGAAGAGCTCCGAAAGGGAGCTTTGGGCCATTCCTTTGTCCTGATTACATGGCGTGCGGAGTCAGCGTTCCATGCGAGCTGCAGCAATCAACACAAGCACTGGCATGTGGCCAGGATCAGCGGCGGCTGGAGAGGCGGGAGGGACGACATGGAGGGGCCAGTGGTGTGAAACAATGTGAATCCCTTTCCATGAATGGGGAAGACCGTCGATGACGGCCTAGAGCGCTGATTCGATGACGGGTCCCATGACGTTTCTTTTCTGAGTGTTGTTCAGCTGTGTCAATACATGCGATCGGACGCACACACACCAGTATCTAGTGTCCTTGGCAGTTGGCACCTGGGGGCCAGAGAAGGATCCCCCAGCAGTCGCTTGTGCCTCAAGAAGGGCTGCTCATTCGCGCAATCGGCTATAAGCAAGACAGGGGCAGACATGGCAATGATGCATCCACCGTCTGACCCCATCGTGAACCTCCCTTGAACCCAAGTCTAGATGGACGTCGAGACGTTGGTCGGCCTGCATCGAGCTTGGCCATGCACCAGCCATCCTCAGAATTGTGCCAGCAACACAGCAGACTCCCGGTTTGTCTTCACCGCATGAGAGTCAAAATGACCTGTCAAGGTTGCTGCGTCTGCTGTGTTTATGTTGGCGCTGCTGCCAGAGCTTGTGGTGGAAATACCCACAAAAGCACCTCTTTCCTTCCTTGGCAGATCTCGATCTTGCAACTAACCTACCCTAGAGCCAGGACTTACCACCCGTTCCACAAGCTACACCCACCCACACATCCACCCTTGACATCACGACAAGCACAGGTCATACATGACAACGAAATCAATTAGAATGCATACTCCTCGACATGCAGATATATACCTTGCGCGCCTGTCCCCTTATGTACTGCTCTCTCGTCGCTTAGCCGGCTCACACAGTTCCTTGTGCGAGCAGTAAGCTCCTTGCCGCCGCAAACCACGACCGCTGTCTCGCCCCATGCCGCTTCGACTGGCTCCCTGATGACTTTTTCGATATCCGGTCTGCTCGTATACGTTCGTTCTTCCGACCCATCACTCGTATTCTTCCCCTCAGCCTCCTCCGCCGCCTTCTCTTTTGCCTCGCAACACCCATGGCACTTCTCGGTGCAAGGAGCCTTGACCGGCCCGTCCAAACGGTCGGTCACTGGTTCGCTGATGCTGCGGTCTATACTGGGATCTCTAGTCGGTATATCGCGCCCTTGGTGGACCTGCTCTTCGCCTGTGATGGCAACATGGAGCACGACCTCGATTGCCTTCTGCCGAGCCTCACGTGCTGCCAATCGAGCTCGGTTGACGTAATACTCGATTTCTTCGCCCCTCCTTGCAACCATTGCCATCTCTATTTTTCGAACGCACACGGTTTTTGACTCGCTGCTGGCCATTCGAACGACGCTCTCAAGTATAGGGAGAGTGAAGCTCACTCCGCTCGAAGCTCCAACAAGAACCAAAGTGTCGTAAGCCTCCCAGAGCGGCGGGACTCCATAAGGCCCTGACAGAAACCCAGTCAAGTTTGGGGAGTCGGTGTGTGCTTTCGCGTACGCGAGGAGTCGTTTGGAGAAGCCACCATGTGCTCGCACAATCAGCTGGACGCTGTTGCAGGTGCAAATGTCCGGTCCAGTGGTGGGCTGGTGTGCGCACGCAATCGTATATGGATGCGCCTCCAGCAGCCCGACCCGCGGGAGCCAGAGGTAGACGTGCTGCCCGGCATTCCAGGCAAAATGGACGTTCTTAACCGTCACCAAAGTCGTCGTCTCCCCCACCGCCTGCACGGACACATGGTGGCCGAAGCCCTTCTGCCCTTGGCACGATATCTTGTCTGGCCGTAATCGGATATTGCGCCAACCCAACAGCGCCCATCGAGCGGCGCGATCAAAGACAAGAAAGGAAACAGACATCCATAAGAGGTACCGCGCCGAATCGGGGATGTGGACGTGTACCAGCCATAGCATCACGATGGACGCGATGACGTGCTGCGCAACCCATATCTCGTATGCAATTCTTCGCAAGGGCAAGATGCCCGTCACAAAGAGCCATAGCAAGATACCCCACGCCCCGATGCCGTACTTGACAAGGGGCGTCGTCTCCAGCGCATACTCGACAAAGTCAGCGCGCGCCCACATGGTCCAGAAGTGGAATCCGTGAACAGTCGCGGTAATGAGCATCGTACGGGCGACCCAGCGGTGCAGCCAGTTGAGCCGCTCGTGACTCGAACCGATGAGAAGACCAATTGGGTTGACCTTCATAGCCAAGAGGTAGAGCATCGGTAGTTGTGCCACTGTCACCCATCCATTGCGGTACCCAATCCGTTCCCAGTAGTAGACGTCGTCCTCGACAACATTCCATCCCATCATGTATGCGACGACGGCCCAGTAGGCAAGCAGGACGAGGATTCGACCCAGCGGTAAGGGCGTGGCCCATCGTAGGCCGCGGATCGGAATGTAGAACTGCGGGTGACGTATTTCGCGGACAACGGCGGTCGCGGTGGCCCAGAATTGCGACAGTCTGGTTCTAGGTATCGTGGGATACTTGGAAGTTGAAGCATCGAGGCAGGATTTTAATCTAGGTGTATGCATTAGCTCTCGGTCCAGTTGCATCCAAACTTTGCTTGGCTGCGCACCTTGACTTGGCCTCGATGTGATTCACAACCCGGACAGCAACGCCCAGGCCAACTACGCCGGCGACAATGAACCAGTAATCCTGCGCAAAAGCCTTGTTTGTGGCCGAACCAATGCCCTGAGGCTCGTGGTGGTCGTGGGACATGATGGAGAAGGGTAACTCGTTACTTCTTCTACCCAGTCATCACAGTGAATGTGCGCTCGTCTCGCCAGGAGAGGTCTACCAGAGCATGCTCTCTTGACCTCTTGCCGTCATGGGAGGCGAATTAAACACAAAGGTGCGGGTGTGGTTGGACGGGAGGAGCAGAGGCTGTTTGAGCAGAGACGCCGCTGGATATCACAATAATAGATAACACGACATGCTACCAGGTCACATTTGAGCGAATTGGCCCGAGACACGAGCATCGAGTTAGTTACATGACGGCACTGCACCCACCGGCCACGACCCTGGCAGAAACCAGGCCAACATCGAAGTTTGAAGCAGCCTCAACGGAATGTCCCCTCTGCCCCGCTGCATCTTCCCCAGGCTAGATCGCTTCGGTGCGTAGTATCAGGCAAGAATTCCCTAGCGAGCGGGTACTATCCAAACGGTGGGCAGCAAACGAGGCAATGGATTGTTGCAGCGCAGAATAAACTTGCTCAAACACCCTCAAACCCCCGCCATCGGCACTTCTGATTGGCCCGCACCCATCTCAGCCTTGGCGCTGTTCCAGATAGCAGCTTGATCAGAGGGAATCAGACAGGATACCCAGCCAGCTGACTTTATTGACTGGGTTGGGTCTCGGCGCGAATATGTTGGCAACAAGTATCATGATACTCGCGGATGTGCGAGTGAGTGTATCTGCTTCGTTGCGATCAAGTCCAGTGGCCTAGCCTCACGACGTCGAACCCAGTAGCGACATCCGCCAACAGCCATCTTGCATTCCGATAGAGATAGAGTAGAGATATATGGGGCTATACGATCGACATACTAACCCAACTGCCCCGATCTCGCCTCGTCCCACTCGAGGTTCCCCATGATGATACTTACCTGTCGGTATACTTGACAAACCGGCTCCTTGCTTGTCCAACAATGGCCATAGCTTCGGGCCACAAGTGGTAAGGACACTTTCTGGGCACTCGCCTACCCTTGTTCTTGTCCATCTTTCGTATGACCGTCCGTTTCAACCTGCAGCACATGCTCACCTGCCTCGGCGCCGATCTGCCCGGGTACTTTACCTGCCTCCTCCCACTCGCGAGCTCTCACTTGGCCGAGCTTCATCTGCTTTGCTTTCCTCGCTCTGCTGTGTATTGTAGAGCCAATTGGCGCCAATTGGGAACCTACATCACCATCTCATCCCCTCGACAAGCATCACACTCGTCATGCGTGCCACACTCCTCCTCGGCGCCCTGAGTGCCCTGGGCCTCACCAATGCCCACTTCACCATCAAGTCGCCCAAGGGCATTGGCAGCGCCGACTCGACCGCCGACCACGCGCCCTGCGGAGGCTTTACCCCAGATCTGTCCGACGGCTCAAGCCAGCTCGTCGACATACACGTAGGCGGCGAGGCCGTCGCCTTGCGCCTCACCCACTCCCGCTGCACCTGGCTGCTGCGCGCCACGCTTGACTCGGCGGCCAAGAACGGCTGGGAGAAGGTGTACCCCATCACTGTCCAGAGCGGCCTTGGAGACTATTGTTTCCCTGCTGTCACCTTCCCCAGCGACTGGGCTGGCAAGAAGGGAGTGATTAGCATCGTCTCGTCGGCCGATGACGGCCAGCTCTTCCAGGTAAGAAATCAACCCAGCCTTTATAGTGATATTAGTAGTTAGACATGTGCTCATTTTCGCCTTTCCCCTCGCAGTGCATTGCCGCAAACTTCGTATCGGGCACCGCCTCGCCGCCGACGACGTGTACCAATGCCTCCTCAGTCACGTCCTACAGCACCGACGATTCTGAGCTGCAAAAGCTCATCGGCGACCAGGATAGCGCCTCATCCACCGCATCGAGCTCTGCTGCTTCGCCTTCGGCGACCGACTCAAAGGGAGCTGCCGGCGCATTGCTCGTGCCCTCGATCCAGAGTGTTGGTAGCCTCGTGGCTGGCGTGGGCGCACTTGTCTTGGGAGGTGCTCTGATGATTTAACGATCTGGCTGAGGTGTAAGTGGTGCTAGTTAACAGTGTACGATGGAAAAGGTGACTCGAGGACATTGCATGAAATCATGACTAGCCATATAGAGATTGTTATTTTTCATTTGCCCATATTCCGTATTCCATATCGTTTTGCAAGGCCATCCATTTCTCCATGCGAGCTTACTGATTTTTCGTTTTGGTTTGTAAAGCAAAGGGTTGAGTTCTAACCTCACTATATAGGGTAGGTTGAAGTTAGTAACAGCCAGGCAAAGCTGCGCCAAAAGAACAAGAGGGAAAGAAACGGGGGAAATGCTCATTCATTAATCCCATACCTTCAATAGAGCTTGATACCAGTTCGACACTTGGCTACCTAGTAGATTGATAAGTAGTAGAGCCAAGTTCTTTGCCAGTTGTCAAATCTAAAGGATTGCAAGCGAGGTTGTCGAAATCGCCAACCTTACTAAGCGGCTCAAAGGAATCGAGTTCACTTCTCTTATTAGAGCAAAGAGAATAAACCAAATGGATTGGAAACAATAATTTATGAAAATACGTAATTTTTGAGAATTTGCGAAAATGGCAGTGTCTTTGTAGTGGCCTCTTCTGCCAACGCTCGTACACATCTTGGCTTCATGACCCCTTCCATCTACAGGACTTGGTTTTCTCATCCAAACCAATTGCCCAAGTCACCGCCATTGAGGAGTGCATTCCTCCTGAGCCAATGAAAACCACCAATTCAACCATCCCGAGCCAGGGTAGTGCGGGGATCGGCCTTTGTCTCCATCAATTGACCCATTGAAAAGCAACAGGGGCCGGCCGTGGATTGAGACGGCACGGCGGGGGGCGAGAGCAATCGCACGGTCGGCGTTGTTCTTGCAAAGAAGCCCTCACGACCGGTCCCTCTTGACGTCTTGTCCGTGGGCCGAGAGCGATGCGTTTCCCGGCCGAGGAATGAAGCCATCCTGCCTAATTGACCCCCCAGTCAGTCAACTGCGGCACTGATTGAGCGACGGAACGTGCGAGGGCGCGAATCATCCTTGCGTTGCTACCTGTGCCATTGTTCACATCATCAGTCTGCTCCGTGTAGGTGAAAACCAGCCCTGGCAGCTGACCGAAAAACCTTACTTCGCCTTGTGCAGAGTTCACTGGATTCTTCCTTATTCATCTGCTACTGTCGGTGGCAGGACTCTACTCGCCCACAAAACTTTCGTCCCAACTCAAAACTGACAGGGCAGGAAAAGGGCATCCGGACCCGGCTCTTGGATTTTGGTCGAGATGGAGGTCGATGCGTCTCCCTTCTCCTGGCCGATGGTCCGTCCAAGGTCATCCGCCTTTGCTATGGGTGAGCAATACTACAGCACGGAGGGCATGCAAACAGCTTGGGGCGGCGCAGGGAGCCCCCCTCAGACTCAAGCCCTCTTCGACTCCCGCATCGATGCCATCGTCTTTGCTTCCTCTGTTTTATCTCTTGTTGTATTCTCATTCCATCTCGTGAGTGGGAGAATCCAAAAGAGCCTCCCCCAATGGCTTCGGCCGTTTGCCGCTGAGACGGAAACCCCAAAGGCGAGAGACAAGAGCCGTCCTGTCTGGTGGGCCTTGATCCTCGGATTCCTCTCGCTCTCCGGCTTCATCCTGGCCATTGTACCCATTATTGTCTTATCACACAGGCTATGGGCCATTTTCGAAGTCGTGCCCTGGCTTGTTGCCACTCTCATCACTATTCTCGACCGCCCCGTGAAGACTCCGCGGATCCTGTTGGTTCAGTACTTTGTCATGTTTATTGCTTCCCTTGTCATCTGCTCCGTACATTTCATCCACGAGAGCCTCCATTCCGTTGACGCTTTCTTTCTCTCGAGACTCGCAATCTCTTGCTTCGCCCTCGTGGCAATAATCAACATGCCACTTCGTGATCCACGCTGGGACGCAGACGATATTGGAAAGGAGCCGTCCCACGAGACCCGAAGCCCTGAGGACAACACCACCCTTTTCCAGTTCTGGACCATGAACTGGGTATATCCCTTGGCCAGAATCTGCGTCAAGAGAGATCTGGCAGTCGAGGACGTCTGGCAGTTGCCCTTCGACTTCCAGCATGGTCATCTCAACACCTACTTTCAAGAACTCAAGGGCCGTCTTATCCCTCGTCTGCTTCGCGCAAACGGCCTCGACTTGATCATTTCCGCATCCCTGGCCGTTGTTGAAAAGGTATCCGAGGTCTCCAACATCCGCCTCACAAGCGAGCTGTACGCCGCTCTAGACGCGCGTGATCCCAACAGTGCCATCTTCTGGTGTCTCGTCATGCTCTCCGTCGACTGCATCCGCCAGGTCGCCAAAACAACTTCGAGCTGGTACTCCCGCAAGGCTTATGAGCGCTCCCGCGGCGAGACCTTCATCGGGCTCTTTTCAAAGCTGCTCACTCGCGCTGTGCCAGGATCGGACACGATGGAACGCGGCCCCGCGGAGGACAATGTTCTTGATGATTTCGAGATCCAGCCGCAAGGAAGATTTCGACGGTTCTTCTCACGAATATTCGGCCGCAAGAGGAAGACATCCAAGAATGCACCGCTGCTGCAGAGCCAGCCTGCCTCTAATGCCAAGGTTGTCAACTTGGTGCGTGGCGATACGTACGAAATCTCACAGCGGTTTTGGGACTTTCCCCGCCTCATCTCACAGCCAATCAAAGTCATCTTCACCTTGTACTACCTCATTGACATCATGGGATGGCCCTCGTGCGTCGGCGTAGGACTCATGCTCATCTTCATGTCCATCAACTCCGGTCTCGTCCACCAGTTGATCAAGCTCGAGCGTCTGCGGACCGCCCTTTCGGATAGGCGGGCGCAGGCCGTTGCCCACTTCGTGGAGGCAAGCCGGCCGCTTAAGCTTAATGGATGGGCGAATACATGGAGCGACCGCATCATGAAATTCCGTGATTTGGAGATGATGAAACGGTTGCACATCTCGTACGTGAATGCTGCCATCTCCACCGTCAACGTGCTCGGCGGCGCAGCCTACCCTCTGGCCAGCATCTGTCTCTATACGCTGGTCCTCCGGAAAGGCCTCCCCAATGAAGTCATCTGGCCGTCATTGCAGCTCTTCGGGCAACTGGAAGTCAGCGTCAAGGATGCCTTTGACCTCATCTCGGCGTACTGGAAAGCAACCATTCCGGTCGAGCGTGTCAACAAATACATGGAGGAGCCCGACAGGGATGAGGACCACTCGAGCAGTTTGAACGCCCACGATATTGTTTTCTCAAACGCGTCCTTCTCCTGGCCTTCAACGAGTCATCTGGTGCTGGAAAACATCAACCTGTCATTTACGCCCGGGTTTACAGTCGTACGGGGCAGAGTCGGGTCTGGCAAGTCCAGTCTCCTCCTCGCTGCTCTCAACGAGATGGAGCTCCACGAAGGCAATCTCTCCAGGCCAAACGCCCCAATCGGCTACACCCAACAACTTCCGTGGCTCCAGAACCAGACTATCCGGGAAAACATCATCTTCCACCAGCCGTATGACCAGAAGCGGTATCACGAGGTGCTAGACGTGTGCTGCCTGCTCCAGGATCTGTCTCACATGCGGGACGGTGACCAAACACGACTGGAAGAGGGAGGTATCGGTCTTTCAGGAGGCCAAAGGGCTCGTGTAGCCCTCGCCAGAGTCCTATATAACTCCTGCGGTGTCCTGCTCCTTGATGATCCCCTCGCCGCCCTGGACCATGGGACCGCCAGCCGCATCGTCCAGCGGTTCCTCGAGGGCCCTCTGGCCAAGGGCCGGACCATTGTCATGGTCACGCATCGGGACGATCTCGTCCTCCGCCTCGCCGACCAAGTCGTCGACATGGAGGACGGGCGAGCAAGGATCCTCTCCAAGGAGGAAATCCGAGCGGAGTTGGAGCACCCCATCCATACGCCCTTGGATTCCAAGGTTAGTGGCCCTCCTTCCATTCTGCCTGCGGAGCCTTCACAGGCAGTTGGGACCACCACCAAGAATGGACCAGGGGACGAGATGGAAGCTGGCGGTGTGTCCCTCCGCGTCTATCTCAAGTACGTCAAGGCGGGAGGCCTGCAGCTGTGGGCCATGTTGGCCGTCCTCTACGGCCTGTCCAGGTACCTGGACATCTCCCGCGCTCGGCTGCTCGAGGCTTGGGGTAGCAGCACGGCGACGACGCCGATAGGCACGACCCCCAACTTCTGGGGTCTCCCCAGTCCCGAGGAACATCCTGGTACCTGGCTCTACGTCCTAGGAGGGCTATCGGGAGGGCAGATCGTCACATTTGCGCTGGCCCAGGCTATTCTTGCACACATCTGCGTCAACGCCGCGCAGCGGTTGTTCAGAACGGCCGTGGGAAGGGTAAGTAGAGCCACCTTCCGCTATCACGACATCACTCCGACTGGCCAGCTCAAGAACCGCCTCATTTCAGACATGGGCATGGTTGACGGAGGGATTCTCACGCCCCTCGAGTCGTTCATCTACAACCTCATCGCCCTCTCCCTGAGCCTTCTAGCCATCATGTCCCACCAGCCGTACCTCCTCATCATCCTCTGCGTCGCCGCCGCGCTCTTCGTCTACTTCTTCCGCATCTACGTGCCCATTTCACGCTGCCTGCGCCGCATGGAGATGATGTTCCTCACGCCCATCATCTCCAACATCGGCGTCATGCAGGACGGCCTCGTGACCATCCGCGCCCTGAAGGCCGAGTCCCACTTCCAGGACCGCCACCTGAGCGCCGTGGACGACTTCCAGAAGCAGGACCACTTCTTCTGGAGCATGGCCTTCTGGCTCGACTTCCGCCTCAGCATGTCCTCGGCGTGCGTGCGCGCGGCCCTCGTCCTCTTCATGGTCTGGTCCAGAACCCCCGCCAGCGCCGTCGGCTTCGTCCTCACCCAGACCACCATCGCCATGATGGCCGTCCAGCAGCTCTGCGAGAAGTTTGCGCAGCTCCAGCTCGACGCCGTCTCGCTCGAGCGCATCGACATGCTCAACAGGATCCCCGAGGAGCCCAGCGGCGGGGACGAGCCCCCGGACGACTGGCCCAAACCCTCCGACGACGTCACCTTCGACGACATGTCCTTCCGCTACGCGGACCACCTGCCCTCCGTCCTGCGCGGCGTATCCTTCGAGATCCCGGGGGGCTCGACCTGCGCCGTGCTGGGCCGCACCGGCTCCGGCAAGTCCACAATCGCCAACGCCCTCCTCGCGACCGAGCTGCCATGCCACGGCGCCGTCAAGATCGGCGCCGTCGACCTGTCCTCGGTGTCGCGCGCCGCCCTCCGCAATCGCGTCACCTTCATCCAGCAGGACCCGATCCTGTTCCCGGGAACCCTGCGCGACAACATCGACCCGGAGGGCAGGTTCTCGACGGAGGAGTGCCAGAACGCCATCCGCCGCGTCCTGGGCGCCGGCTGGGGCCTCGAGACGCACATCGACGCGGCGGGCAAGAACCTGAGCCAGGGCCAGCGGCAGCTGGTCAGCATCGGCAGGGCGGTGCTGCGCCGGAGTGGGCTGGTGATCCTGGACGAGGCGACGGCGTCGATCGACCGGAAGACGGCGGCGACGGTGCAGAAGATCCTCAGGGAGGATCTAGCGGGGAGCACTGTTATCACCATTGCCCACCGGCTGGAGGCGGTGGAGGATGCGAACTGGTGTCTGAGACTGGATCATGGGGAGGTGGTTGAGTGTGGTCCGGCGAATGGCTCCGATTTGAAGGGGAAAACTACGCCAAGTACATCAAGTTAAGCATGTTGGATTGAAAAAACGAACGAACTAGAAGAATTTCTAAAAGTTGTTGGATGAGTGTTGAATATCTGATTTGGTTCGGTTGCATCTAAGCAGGCATATGTTGAATTGTCTCATATCTCCCGTTCATTTGATGCAGCATGGCAAGAACAAGCCTTCTTTTCCAAATATAGATTACTTGGAATAGTATACGTGCGGAAAAATAGACCCTTCGTTACATCTATTACACTATATACCATAGTCTCCTGTAGGTCTGGATATCTACCAATCCACAGCACCTTCATAGCAACCTTCAACGTTTCAAACTTTCCAAAAAGGTAAAAACAAGCGAGGCCGACGGATCTGCACGAAAAATTTGTGGTCGGAATCAAACGTGATGTAACTGGTGCCCTTAGTGATACAGTCCGTTGTTACAGCTGATGCTTCTTTCTCCTACTGAAGGCACAGCAGCAGTTAAGTCATACCATCAGTGAAACACCCGATAAGCATGAGGAATGCCGACGTATAAGGGAACAGTGACATCCAAACGCAACAAGGATTGCCCACTCCCTGAGGATCAAGTAAGGCAATGATCAAGGGGCGTGTTGATGAGTCACGGCGCCAACGCTGCTTTTGGCCGTCAACTACCTATAAATCGTGTGATAGATCGCTTGTCACGGCACAGGGCTATGGTGATTCGATTGTTAGAGCAAAACATCAGAAGCTTTGAAGAATTGGGCAATGGGCTTAACTGTTGCTCCCTGATGTCCCTATTTGAGGGCGGCAGCATTTCACCGACGACGGCTTCAACACCCGAGAGTGAAATAACTCGACCTGAAACTTCTGTGAATTTCCTTGAAGGCAACCAACTTCGATCCGTAAGGAGCCATAGTTTTCGTAACGAAGCCCCCTCTTCTCCAACAATCAAGCACGTCCACGTCACAATCGCCGACGATCGAGTCTAACTGGTTATCAGCCTGTGGGTGAGCTAATCCCGTGAATCACGCCTTCACCGGACATTCTAGACAGTCCCGATAGATGATTGCTTTCTGTTGCCTAGTTGCTTCCGCGTATACCATCAGCGCGGTGCCTCACCAGTGTTCCATACACACACATTTGCAGGTGCATGTTTGTGTGTTGTCCTTCCAATCTGTTTCCTGACTTTTATTTCCTCTCCCGGTCTTAATGTCACTGCACAATATCGCAGTAATTGCCCTGTAACTTCGCGAAATGCGATGTTCTGTGACTGCTGGACTTTAGGCAGCAACCTGACTATCCGCCCTTCACGGACAACTGTGCAGTCGGTCAGCCATTAACAGAAAATCAGACAAATATATAAGTAATCCTCCCGACCCAGGCAAATATTTGTTCAGGACGCTTGACCTTTCGTCCTAAGGATCCGAGCACCTCCCATCAAGCAACCAGAAAAAACCAACTTTTCAAACAGGAAACAAACCAGCACCAGGATATCTACAACACAACACTTACACATATTACCAACAAGCCGGAGACTAACGTCAAGTCCCTTCCGGTGACCATGTGCCAGCCTGTTGCCTACACATACCCCGCTTGTGGACACCTCGTTGTACCCCTTGCAAATATCTGGACATTGGAACGCTGCACCCAGGCGTGGAACCAGGGTAAGGATTGCTGGATACCCCAGGATTGCCCTTCCCGATTTATCGTCAGGAAGCCGTGGAAAGGCGCCCCTCTGGATCCCTGCACAATCTGCGAAGAGAGAGCGCGCCAGAGGGGGGACGCGAATTTGGCACCGCTAAAGACTACTACATCCAACTTCTCACAAAGGTTACGACGGGACAAGAGATGCTGAGGATGGATTCGATCGGGTAAGTCGCGGTCGTCAAGTCGCTCGAAAGTATTAAACAGAGTCAGGTCAAGGTCAGAAACAGGGACCAGCAGAAACCGAACATCACCAAAGCAACACCGGTTAGGGAACAGAGAAATAGTTTCTTGGCAAAATATATGATCAGATGGGGCTACCAAGTGCCTCGTCGAGTGCTTCAATCCTAGGGATGCCATAGGGCCACCTTCTCGCCCGCGAGATCGAATGCTCTTGATATGCATCTGGAATGCTCAACCGAACACCTTGTCCAGAATCTTCTCAAAGTAGTTGCTTTCTCCAATGTTAGCAAAACACGTGCTATAGGTAGGGAGGGATGGGGTTTGCATACCTGGGCGGAATTGGGACATAGTTCCTCTCATATTCAGCGAGAACATCCTGGTCCCGGTTCAGGTCTATCTCTGATGCCCTGTGGAACTTGGTCTTGTGGATGATCTTCCAGCCGAGGAAGAGAACGGGGCACACCATGATCATCATATACCTAGGTCAAGTCAATATAAAAACTTACCGAGGGATACCACAAAAGAATAACCAAATGCAAACGTGAGGACTTACGAGAATAAGAAATCAGTGACCTTCCACATCCCCTCAATAGGCAAGAACACCGTGTATCCACCGACGAACATCATCACAAACGTTCCGACAAGGGCATACCAAGCGGCATAAGGCTGAAACCACGCCTTGTACGGTAAAGTGTCTCGGCTCACCCCCTGCGCCTTGAGCGCCCTGTAGAAGCAGAGGTAGGCCACGCAGGTGACACAGAAGTTCATGAGCTGCGACGCCGTGACCAAAGACACGAACCAACTCAGCACCACCGCCGAGCTCTCCGACAGCTGCAGGAAGGACAAAAGGCCGATCAGCAGGACGACTACGACACAGTAGATGGGCACACCGGCTTTGGTGCAGGTGGTCAGGAACCTGGGTGCCTTGCCCTCGAGGGCGAGACCGTAGAGGGATCTCGAGGCGCAGTAGACGTATGAGTTGCCGGCGGAGCAGGCGGAGGTGAGAACCAAGGCGTTGACGATGTGGGGGAAGACGCTAATGTTGAGCCTCTCCATGGCGACGACGTAAGGGGAGGCAGCGGCACCTGGCTTGCCCTCCTTGAAGGCTGCGATCAATTCCGGGGAATCATACGGCACGAGAATACCAACGCAAAGCGCGCCGAGGATGAAGCTTTCCACCGACATGTTAGATTACAATCTTTCACTCATCAACATCCATCAATGGGAACAAGCTCTTACAAGATAGTGAGACGATAGAAGACGGAGTTGAAGGCACGGGGCATGACCTTTCTCGGGTTCTCGGCTTCACCAGCAGCCATGGAGACGTAATCGGGGCCGGCGATGGTGAAGGAAGCCTGGATAAGGCACTGCAAGAACCCCAACCACCTCCCCAGAGTCCCCTCATAATACAGCTCAGTGAAAGCACCCGGAGAATACCAGTACCGGAAACCGAACCGGTCCTTGTTGGGGTTCCCACCCAGCATGACAATGAAGGTGAACAGAATGAGCGCAACAATGAGGATGACCTTTCCCAGGGCGGCCCAGAACTCGGACTCCCCGTACCATTTCACAGCGAGCACGTTGATGAGGGCGTACAGGACGAGGATGATGGCAACAATGGCACCGACGGGCACAGCGTCACTCCAGAAGTTGATGATGAGGTTGCAGGCGACGATCTCGAAGGGGACCATGGCCGCCTCGAAGACGAAGAAGTTCCAGCCGGCGGCGAACCCAAAGGCCTCGTCGACGTACCGGCCAGCAAAGCGGATGAACGGGGAGGAGATGGGCGTGTATGTCACCATTTCAGCCATGCACAGCGTGACGCAGAGAATGAAGGTACACCAGATCGCTAAGTCACATGGGGGTCAATGTCTATGCACCTCACGTCACGGAGTGGGAGAGAGGATATCTTGGCAGATGTAGCACGGCGTTGTCAGACTCACCAAAAGCCAGCAGGAGAGAGGCCGGGCCGCCATTCAGGAGCCCCTTGCCGATTTGCACCTATTCGCGGTCGAGCTTATGAGCACTTGACGTCCAGAAAAGAAAGGTGGTGAGAGGGGATTGGCCGCTCGCACATCATGGCATTCACTCGGCATGCAACTCGGCGAGGTCCATTTTGGTTTCTTACATAGAGGGCAGTTCCAATGGTACCACCGATACCAATGAGCTGGATGTGCCGAGACTTGAGCTTGCGGTGGGTGTGGTCCCTCTTCTCGAAGTCATTATCGTCTGAGATATTGCCGGCCAGGAAACTCGTCCCCTTTGTATTGGCGGCTTTCTCCTGGTCAGAGTTGTAGGCAGGCGGAGTAGCCTGGCTGGCTGATAGACGGCCCATTTTCAAGTCGGCGCAGACGAATAAGCAGCTGAGACGTCAACGAAAGGCGATGTGCGTGAGGTTAGCCTCCAAAACCAGCCTCGAGAGGAAACCAAGGCAATCAGCAGCGGAAAATTGTTGCAGTCAGCGCAGGAGAGGGAATGTGGTTGGCAGTGCTCCTAATGTGAGGGCATTCACAAGGATGGATCTTGAAGGAGGTTCTAGACCTCAACACCACACCAAATAAACAGCAACTGTGTGAAAATCTTCAAACTCCACAAAGATGAATTAAGAGTAGGCAAGACACAGGAATGCAAAGTGGGAGGGTACAAGGTATCTTATTTGAGAGAAACCCAAAACGGCCGATAACCGATCTTACCGCAGCACATGGGACTGGCACGGCACAATCAAGAGAGAGGCAATAGCGGTACGTTATGGCCCTGTCCAGGACCAAGCTCTCTCTATCAGAGGTAGCAATCGAGGAACAATAATGAGGACCCATTGGACGATATGGGGCCACAATCTCAACTAGAGACGTCGGTTGCAGCCAGGGCCCCGGTGCAATGGATGGATGGACGCATCCGGCATCCTGCTTTTCCCTCAAAAGAAGGCCCAGGCCGAGACGGAGGCTGGCTGGCTGGCGAGAGCCAGAGAAAGCATGGGCCAGACGAATGCGGTGCGATCTGACGGCAGTTTGCTACCGCCTCTTGATAGGCAGAGTCTCCCCTCCCGCACCAAAAGCTATGGAGAAGGTGGTCCCCCGTTATGCATATTTGCAAAGAAGCATCGTCGAATGGCCGGGCACCAAACGCCTCATCCTGTCTCGTATGTGCATAGTCCCAATTAGTGCCTCGTAACCTCGGTCCTTTGTGCCTACAAAGCCCACAAATCGAAAACAAATAAAAGTAAGAATCTCGAGAAAAATCAAGACACACGCCATGTCTGGCTCATCTCCACCGGTACTTTTGTGCGCCGAAGGAAGTACCAGGCCGTAAGCGGATGGGCAACACAGCATCAGGTACACCAGTACCTTGACCCAAGTACTCCTTGTCCCCACCGTCTGTTGAGGCCTCTTGCTCTGGCTTCTGCCCGCCATTGGATCCTCCCACAGCGATAAAGAAGCCGGGCAAGGGCCCCGGCACACTGCACGCAACTGCACGTCAGCCAGGGCGAGCACGATAAACAACCAAAAAGCAAGGTTATTCCGCCTCTCGGTCCCGTCTCACATGACGCTGGGCAGCAGCACAAACTTCCCCAGCTCGGCCGTTCCCTTGAATCGGGACTAGCGCAGCGCACCATCCCAGCGCCCAGGGCATCCCAGCCACTGACGATGCGCTGCTGGGCGTGGGGACCTCCCTGCAAATGGGGTCCTGATGGTGGGGCCTTGGGGGAAGATTCAGAGGGCCCGAGGTGAGGGGAAATGGCCCAGGCGCTGGTGCTGGCACTAACGTACTGCCAGTGATGCGCCGCGACTTTCTCTCCGGCTTGGCCACCACTGACAATTGAAGCTACGACCCATCCTGCTACAACCCAACGCACATGTTCTTCCATCCTGCTTCCATGCGGTTTCTCCAACGGAGCAGACATCTGCAGAACCCTGGGCCTGAGAGGTAGCCCGCCAAGAGGCCTCGCACATGGTCCTCCCAGCCGCATAGCCGGGGTACCAAGACCAAGACACACAAGACACACAATCGACGTTATCACCAAGGGCCAACCGATCAGCTCTCTCAATTAATGATCCTTGGCAGGGTCTCGCTGCCCCGTCCAATCACAGATCTATCAAGTCGAACCACCCGCCTCCACAAGTGTTCTACTACTGCCTACACATGCAACACATAGCTAAATCGACAGGGTTAACCCAACAAGCATGCAGATACCAGACCTACTTTCACACACAATACAGCCAGCCCAGTGAATCCATCCTCGGGCTATTTCTCTCTAGCCCGCCGCAACGGTCCTAGTGTTGTCTAGACTCCGTGAAATACGGCTGCCTGGACGAGAAATCAAAAACACCTTCCATTTCCAATCAGCCCCCCAATCACCATCATCCGTCCTTTCTCCCCCACACACAACCGGGGCGTTTTGACCTGCATGCACACATGCAGAGGGTGTCAGTTTTTGTGCTTGTGCTACGTCAATCTTTCGGACTCACCGATGGATGGGAACACCACCCATGCTTATCCAGCCCGCCTCAGCTATCTAGGTACTCATAGACCTTTCAGCATATGATATTGATGCAGACGACCGGAGCCCTGTCTCAACCTCGCTTACGGCGAGAGGCAGGGTGGTGGCGGTTCGACGTTGCATGTCACGGGATAGTCACGCAAAATTGAAACTGGACATTCTGGGTTTATTGGGGGGTATTCGTTCTACACATAATAGGTACAAACAGATGTCTGCTAACATGAGAAATCTTGCATAATCCTCCGTATGTTCTGAGATATCACAATTAAGTACCCCGCTCTTCGCTTCAGAAAAAAGAAAGGCCAAATAAATCATACCAGTCAGGTAACAAAAGGAAAGAGTCCGATAAAATAAAAACACATTTACTCAATGTGATGGCTGTCAACCCTTCGAGGAGCCTCTCCCTATCAGCCAAGGAGAGGGCAGACCTGTTGTCAATAGCCTCCACGTCCTTTGCATTTCTTACCTCCTCTTTCAATAAGTCATGAACATATGATTCATGGCATCGTCTCCGTTATCATCCTGAAAAATAAAAATGACTGAACAAAAACGAGAAAAGCGCATCGAGAGTATGACCTTCCATCACCAGCGCTCCTCTTACAATTCGTCCTTGTCGTGCTGTACCTTGGCTTTGATGGCCTCGGTGGCCTGGCTGGCGGCACTGCCAATATTTGACGTGGCAGTGGCGTAAGCAGCTTGAAGCTTAGATAGGACACTTTGCTGGAACGTGTCATCTTTTCCAACCAGGAGTTCCGATACAATATCCGTAACAGCAGCGTACTGCTTAGATGCCGTAGCAGATGTGTCCTCGGATCCTGCCGTAACTCTTGACACGGCCGAACTGGCCTCGTTGAAGAGACTTTCATACCAACCAATCTGCTTCTGTTCTCCGTAGACCTGTCCCTCCAGAGTTTGAAGGACGTTGTCCCACGTCTCTGCCAAGGCGGCGCCCGCCAAGTAAACCTGCTCGCTCGCTGCATCAATGGCAGATTCGATAGAATCGTCGACAGCCTTGATGGCGGATGCAACGTTGTCCGCCGCGGCGGAATAGGCAGAGCCAGCTACATCCTCAGCCGCCTGGATCACGGAAGCGGCTGACTCTGTGGCGATCGAGGCGACCGATGAAAGGGTGCCTGCAAAGTCAGTTGGCGTCGGCGTTGGTGTCGCTGTGAGGGATGACATGGCAGAAGATGCAGCGGAAAGGAAACTTGAATATCGGTCTTGTGCGAGACCAAGGCCTGCGTAATAGTTCATCTTGGCCTGGCTATATAACTTCTCGGCGTTTGATGTCGGTGTAGGTGCCGGAGTGGCAAGGCCAAGAGCAATGATGGCACTCTGATACTGGATTTCTGCCCACACGCGACCCTCGTTGAGGCGCTGCGCGGCGATGGACTCTACCTTCTTCTGCCAATCGACAATGGATGTTGGCTTTGGTTCCTCGGTAGTGGTCCTTTGAATTCCAGCAGAAGCAGCCGATACTACTGCGTCAAATTGAGAGCTGGCTGCTGCAACAGCATTGTCATAGGCTGCGGAGACGGAAGAAAAGAGCTGGTTGTGAACTGGCTTGGGAGTTCCGTAGATTTGAGCCGAGATGATGGATGCAGCTGTAGCGTACTGGTCAGATGCCGCAGACACGGCTTTAGCATAGGCGTCCTCTGCAGCGCTTGTCAAGTCGGCCAATAGATCACCCTCCTCTTCTTCCTCGTTGGCGCTCTCGTCTTCATCATCGTCTGTCTCCTCTGCCTGCTCATAAAGAGCTGCATAAACATCATCAGTCTCATCATCCTCGTAGTCTTCAAGGACGGGTTGGCGGCTGCGGACGGCCTGAGCCATTGCTCCAAACATGGCTGGCTTAGCTGATGGAGTCTCGTACGCTTTGTGAGAATCTGCTTGTGAGCCAACATCTTCATCAATGTCTTCAGCACGCTTTGGGGGCTCAGGAGCCTTTGAGTCCTCTGAACCGTCTGCGCCGTCCGAACCGTTCGCGACAATGAGGGTCGTTCCTGATAACAGAACTTCAGAGGCTTCGGATAGGAGGCTGCTCACGGTAGAGGACTCCTCGGCTTCCTTGGTCTCATCAGCAGATTCGGAGGCCTCAATCGTGCTCTCAGCTTCATCTGGGATAGTAGAAGAAATGTCTTCAGCATCAGTCGAAGCGCTAAAGGCACTCTCATCCCCAGAAATGGGAAGAGAGGAGTCGCCGCTGTCTTCAGAATTGTCTTGAGCTTCATCAAAATCAGCACTGGAAAGTGTCTCGGGTTGGGATGCAGGCTCCTCACCACCCTCAGCGGCACGAGCGACACGTTCCTCCTCCTCCCTAGCTTCTGCGGCAGCTCGTTCAGCCTCTTTCTTCGCCTCTTCCTCTGCCTCCTCTGCTGCTTTGATCGCTGCCAGTCTAGCCTCCTCGGCAGCGATGGCGGCGGCCTCAACAGCCTCAGCAGCAAGCTTCATCTCCTCCAAACTAAAGTTGTCCGACGAGTCCTGCGCCAAAACCTTCCAATGGGTGACTTCCTTAAGACGCCCCAGTTCTTTGGCAGCATTAGAAGCAATCTCCATGGATTCGTCCTCAACCTGAGCTGAGGCCTCTTGAGCCGCCAGGAGGGCAGGGTGGGTAACGATGAGCTGCTTGAGCTGGTCGGTCCAGGCGCTAAATGTTGTCTTGAGCTCATGGTACTTTTGCCAGTCTTTGTATGTCACACCATCAGTCCAAGCCCACTTCATGCCAATCTGTTGCAAGGCTAGGCCTCTTGTCTCGTCAAGTAATTTGAAGTGAGCATCGGCAGCGTTGACGACGGTGTTTTGCAAGTCAGTGTCGTACTTCTTGCGCCATTCGCGAATTGCCTGCGCCTTTTGCTTGATAGCAACGCCTGCAGTTCGGACCGCCTTGACTGCCTCCGCTTCCGGGTCTTTGAGGCCCGTTGTGCTCTGCTCAACGAGGGCCGCGATCTTTTTCTTGAGTGTCTTGACTTCGGACTCGACGGTGGCCTCCAGGTGTTCCATCAAACTTGCTCCGGTCTTCTTGATCTCGGCTTCGATCATCTGCTTGGCAATCTCGTCGACACGCTCTTCCATATCATTGGCGCCCTCATCAGCGAGCGTGGCAAACCGGTTCTGCCATTGCTCGAGATCCTGGGCCACCATCTCGCGCGCCTTCTTGCGCTTGTCGTTCTCGTTCTCCCCAGGGGCTGGTGCTTGGACTGGTTGCGCATATGCTTCCTTGCTCTCAACTCGGGGGGTCTCGGATGCGGTCGCTTCAACAGTCGCAACGCTGGTAGACTGGACGGTGGGTTTGCTAAATGCCGAAGTTGTCGTGGTACTACATACATCTCACTGTTAGCTCCTGTCGACAAAAACTACGTCTCATTCCTCTATACTAACCTCTCGAAGTCGGGGAGCCTCTCGACCTTGGACTTAACCCGAGTTCCATAACGTCCGAGGCGCTCCCCAATACGGACAAGCTGGGGCTCAACATTCTCTACGTAGATGATCCGAAGATGCGGCCAGATTGCGGTATCAAGGAAGGAGCTAGTCTTTCCCCAAGCCCAGGAGGCAGTTGGCAGAGCGGTATCAGCCGTGAACTTGGACGCAGTGTGGTATGCATCGACAGCGTATGGTTGGACAAAGGTGTAGCCGGGAAGAAGGTACTCGTAGTAGACTTGATAAGCCTCGGTTTGGGCGGCATCGACGTATGGGCCGAGCACATCATTGGCCTGCGTGATGTATGGGCCGACCTTGTCGTCGTACTTGTCGCGCACAAGTCCTTGGATCTTCTGAAGCTGCACCTGCCCGTTCCTCTCCCACTGGGCCAAGCCAAATTCCTGTGCCTTTTCTACGTATGGAGTGCCGTACTGGACAGCATACTTGTGTGCCGGGACGAGAACCTTTTGATTGAGTGTATCATAGTAGGGCTGCGCAACATCAACGTACGGCGCAGCGTACTCGTCGTAGTAAGGCTGGACGTAGGGAGCCACGAAGGTCTTGGTCTTGAAGTAATATTGGCAGATGAACGGGGAGGTATCGTCGCAAGCCTCGAGGGAAGGAGGACAACGGAAGAGAACAGTGAGAATGCTGAACCACGTCGCGAGCCTGGAGAAAAACAAATGTTAGTCAATCGTGACATCTTCCTCGAGAGCCAACTAGTAGAAGTAGTAATTTGGCATGACGAACCAGGCGACTTGATTGAACAACCACGACAAAAACCCCCGTCGCTTCACGATACCTCGTCTCTTACCAGCAGCGGCCGGTTTACCCGCGGGCTTGGCCTTGCCGTTGGTGAAGCCGTTGGCAGCTTTGAGCGATCCATTGGATTCCGCCATGGCGGGCGACTGTCACGCACGCTTGCGTCTGGCTCAGTTGGATGTAAGATGGAAAGACGGGAAGGCTGTCGGCTGCATAGGACCTCGGCGAATGTCGAGCGACGGGATTCACAGCAAAACACTGAACGGAGTGTTGCTTGACTAGCAAAAGCAGAAGCTCGTGCACGACACAACACGAGACGAGACGGGAAGCTTGGTCTCAAACGATGCAAATGTGGAGAATGGATTTGGCTTGTCCCATGCGACAGACGCTCATTTGTCAAGCTGGCTGCAAGCTGTCAACAATCGATACCTTGTAAAACGCAGGTGCAATTTAGTGGGTAGCAGGAGCCTGTCAGGCGGCTGCCATGGACCAAAACAGGCATTCGCACTATGTAGGTACTTACCAGGATCACATGAATCAGTGCACGACCGACTGCTTTCAAGATGGATGAGATGGGAGAAATTCAGCCAAGAACCGTGCCGGAGCGACAGGGACAGACTTTGATTTTACTTTGATCTCAGCTTCACGCTCAGGGGGTCAGATTGGCAGGATCCAAGGCAGGCTGCGGGCTCCCACCACCCATCTGGGTCCGTCTATTACGTCGCCCAAGTAGGTTCTGACGTAGGGAAACCGGAGGATCACAGGCACCGTCACGTCATCACGAGGCAGCACATCCTGCCAGTCACCACCAGACAAGCCTGCTCGAATCTGCACGGGGATGCGCAAGGGTGGAGATAGATCACCGACGCTGAAGCACAAGCTTGATTCCAGATGCAACATGCCTGGCCTTTGCACATGTTATTTTGTGATTTTATCTTATTGGTGAGGGGAGGGACTGGTTTAATCAAGCTTGTCGGATCCGAGTTGCCTGCTCCAGGTGCATTACTGCTGTCATGTTTCTTCGTCGAAGTCCATCCACATTCTTCAGGACAGATTCTTGATTTATTAAAGAAAACAAATAGAAAACCCCCAATATCTGTATCTACCGGATCTGCGTCTCTCACCCATATCTTCTTCAACAGTATGCGCAATGTCGTCAAGTGGCTGTTATCAAAGGCTAGTCCCTGCCTAGATTCATTCTGCAGAGAGGACCATCGCCTAGATCTGTACCTGGGCGGCCTCCCAAGCAATGCATCGCATCTCCATCTGTAGCCGCGCAGTGGAGTTTCCTGGTTAGAATAAAGCAAGCGATGATGAAGGGTGATGAGTGGTCGGATGGTCGTCTATCTCCAGAAAAGCTTGCTGATGCTTCCAACTACCTTTCCTTCTAGTACCAAAGCCATGCGAACTAGTGTTCCTACCTTATCTTAGTTCACAGTCCATGTTCATTAGCTACTAAGTCCAACTCGCCGTGCTTGATAGCGGTGGGGAAGATAGAGTCCGAGTAAAGACCAGGACACAGTCGCTCTACGGAATACGGCACCTAGCCACCTAGCATTAAGTTCTTGGGAGTTTCTCAGCATTTTATATCCATCTCTTCTAGTTTATCCAGTCAGGCGCATGACAAAAAATATGGCTCACGTTAAATAGGCGTAAACTAGGGGGCGTACCACCAAAAAACCCATCAGTATAGCAAACCTATACTTTTCAGATTCAATTCCTACAATAATTTTCAACTACAATAATGAGATAAAAGTAATAGGCTGTATCTACTTTGAAAGAGGTTTTACATGATTATTTTCATTTTATTTAGATACTTATTGTTTGGATAGTTCTGTATGAATTGTTTGTATGGGCCATGTTTTTTTTGTCACGCGCCTGCCAGTGTCTTCCGACACGAGGACTCTCTTAGCTGACTCACGTACCTTGTCAAGACATGTCCAGCCTGAAGGTAACTCAACTTAGGTACCCAGACGTGCAAATACCAGCGTGAACAAGACTACGACCCTAGATACGTAGGTACATTAACACCTTAGCATGCAGTGGCACACTAGAACATACAGCTGTAGGCATGGATGATGAGATGCGGCTTTCAAGTAGGGTTCACACACAATGCGACAATTAGCTTGGCACCAGCCCAGCTTGTCCCAGAATCAAATACATCTTCATACCAACAGATTACGTATCATATCGAGGGAAAAACCAGAGTGTTGGTTGGCATGACCCTGCATCAGGCTCGCATCACGCAAACCACGCTCTAGCCTCTTTCGGCCAGATTGAGCACTTGGTTGGGGCAAGCACAACCAAATTCCAAGTTCCGCACGCCAACAGACGCTTACCTTAGTACACCCACGGCAATAGTACAAGGGTGCAAGAGCCACCGACACCCAAATTGTCCATCCAACGTCAACGGCTGGGGAAGTCCCAAGGCAACACTTGTTCCATCAAGCGCCTACTTCGGCCACTTTCCATCCATCGCCATAAACCCGTTGTTGTTCTAGAGGCGCCTGTCCTTCCGAATGCTATGACCACTGCCAGGCGCTCTCTCTCTGCTTGCGTGTTTGCAAACCCTTGCCCGGGATCCCGGTCCATTTCTGTTCGTTCTCTCCACGCCGCCTTGACTTGCGGTGGGCATCGTCCATGCCATCCCACCCCTCCATCGAAGACGACATCCAGCTAACAGCAGCAACAATCTTAGTACCCGGCGCTCTCTAACAGTCCGCCCTTTCTCGAACAACCACGCCGCCTGTCGCATTCGTCTCCCCCTCATTGAAAATCGTCCGTCTGCGTGCAACCCCCCCGGTGGCGGGCGAGGTCGCCCCGTCGCGAACCCAACCCATTTAGTCTCCGGTCAAATCAGCTACCTATTACCAGACGCACAAGCTCATCATGGCCGACTGGCAAGGGGCACCTCCCTATGGAGGCCCTCGTGTTTCTCTAAGAAATCCAACCCAACGACATGTCCGACGACCGACACACGCCGAAGACTCGGCGCCGGGTATTTGTCGAATATGTCGTGGTGAAGGGACCCCCGAAGAACCGCTCTTCCATCCATGCAAATGCAGCGGTAGTATCCAGCATGTTCATCAGGACTGTTTGATGGAATGGCTATCGCACTCGCAAAAGAAATACTGCGAGCTGTGCAAGACATCTTTTCGCTTCACCAAGTTTTATAATCCCAGCATGCCCGCCTCACTACCTGTCTCCGTCTTCTTCCAACAACTAGTCCGATACGTCATCCAAAACTTCCTAGGATGGTTCCGTGTCATCATAGCCATCAGCTTTTGGGTGAGCTGGCTTCCATGGTTTATGCGACGAGGTTGGGCGTCGCTCTTCTGGATCAGCCAGGAGAGTTGGGGGAGCACCCAGGGTCAATTTTCCGGGTCCTCAGGGGCCATCATCGAGCTTTCGTCAACACTCCTCGGGGTGGATGTGTGTCCGGCCAGTCCCTTGTTCGCTCCCACGACGACTTCCGCCGAGTCGGTCAAGACCATGCTGAGCTGGTGGGAGAGCCAGCCCGTGACCATATACCTCATGCGTTTCCTCCTTGGAATATTTGGTCTGCCCGTTCCGCCTCCCCCGGTACCTCGCGCTGTCGCTGCGCAGTACACAACCCAAGAGCCCCAGGTGTCCCAGTCATTACTTGGAAATGTGCGCTTTCTACGACGACTAACCCGAAGCACCGCGGTGAACCAGACCATCATCTCAGTCTTTGAAGGCCAAATAATTACCATCATCGTCATGATCAGCTTTATTCTCGTAATATTAGTGAGAGACTATGTGGTACAGCAGCAGCCCGAATTAAATATGCGAGCCGGATTTGACGAAGTAGAAGAAGTTCCCATCAGGCAACCAATTCGGGTAGAACAGGCTCACCAAGTGGAATCGGAAAATGAATCAGACGAATCAGGCGATGGACGGCCAGCCGACGATACTCCCCATGCGGAGACCATGTATCGTGAGCCGAGCGATTCAGCTCCTCAAATGGGCCGATCTGACGAAGAATATGGCGAGAGCGTCTCTGGCTTGAATCCTCTAGTATCGGGGCATGATCATGATCTATTTGCCGACTCTGATAGCAGCTCATATGGCAGACACAATGGCCATCCCCAAATAGACACTCCTGGATCTTCAACCGAAACTTACCCAACACCTGTCAGGGCATTTGCATCCCTCCAACGGCCCAATGGCAATGGGTCGTCCCAAGATGTTGACTTTAATCCCATGGCTAACGATTGGTTCCGTCCTTCACCCGAAGAAAACAGTTCCCCAGTGGAGTCCACTAAAGGAAAGGAAAGGCTTCACGAATTCGGCCACAGCGATATCCCACCTTTTCTACTATCACAAAGTTCCGAGCCAGATGCTGGCCCTTCTCGCCCTAGAGCTTTGTCAGACGGCCCTCAAATGCAGTCTGGCATCAACCCTCTCGCCAATAACACGTGGTCCCTGGCTCACCTTCCGTCTGATGATGGTGTCAATGGGACATTTGATCCTGGGTTTCGCCCACCCCCGGTGCAGTCATCTTCTTCACACCAGTCAGATGCTGGGGCAGAATGGCGCAATTGGCAAGGAAATGGCTTCCAAGAATCAGAGGCTGATCGTGGTTACACCGGTATCCGTGATCAACTCGAAGCCGACGAAGAAGTATACCAGCCACCTCTAGAAGGCCGTATTATCCGTATCCCCTCCGCCCCTCCTTCAGAACCTGCCTCCACCGCCCCCACACAGCCTCCGTGGCCATCAACCCCGGCATCACCTGTACCTGAGGATTCATCGTTCAGCCTTTACCACTATATCTCTGATGCAGTGTTGGGATTCATGTGGGGTGGGTTGGGCGAGAATGAAGATTCAGACTCCGAGGAGGACGCGGAGGAGGCAAATCCTACAGATGAGGCCAACGCCGATGCTAATGTAGCTGCGGCTGCTGCCGCCGCCGCCGCTGTTGGGGATGATGACGAGTGGGAAGATGAACCTGTTCGCCGTGCACCAGGCAATGGGGCAAATAATGCAGACGCACCAAACGGCAACAGGCCTGGAGAAGCTGTGGCTAACCCTGTGAATCCCGAGGCTGCTGGAGTCGCAGGCATGGAACCCGAGGCTATTGAAGACATGGAGGATTTTGAAGGGATCATGGAACTGCTCGGTATGCGGGGTCCGATCACCAATCTTTTCCAAAACGTCATATTCTGCGCGGTCCTCGTTCAGGCAGCTCTTTTCTTGTGCGTCTTCACACCCTTCAATGTCGGGCGTATCTCAATCTGGGTTCTTGCAAAGCCTTCACGGCTTATCCGAGTCATATTCGAGTTCTCAAAGTTCATGCAGGATCTGCTGTTTTTCTTTGCCGGGTTCACTTCCTGGGTACTCTTCAACACGGTCGACATGTTTGTTGCTGTGATTGGTGGCGCAGTGAGGACACAGGTTCTCTCTGCTCGCAAAGGATCCTGGAATTTCTTCATGGGCGCTGCTAAACGTATCTTGGATTTCTTTGCCTTTGACTCTCCATCCTCAGGCTCGGGGATGCAGCACTGGTCCGCCATTAGCCACCAAGCCCTCTACTCGATCAAGGAACAGGTCGCAACATTCTTCCTATCTGCAAGCGATTTCTTCGTCTCTTTGTATGACCCTCGCAACGTTATTCCTGCTATCGCTAGCGTGACCAAGGTTCTCCGGGACAACGTCCCAAGCATACTCTCTGTCCTTTTCAATCCAAGCTATTGGGTGATTGAATTGGGCCCAGCCAAGAGCCCTCCTCTAAAACTGGAACTTGCCAATTGGTCTGCCTCAGATATCACATGGGCCATCCTGGCTGGCTACATCACGATCTTCACACTCGCTGGCTTATACATGAATAGTGAAATCCGCCTAGCTCGTGGCACTCTCTTCGAAGACTGGGAGACTGGCCTAATCAATTCTCTGCAACAAGCAAGCGGAATACTGAAGGTTATCACGGTCATCAGCATCGAGATGCTAGTGTTCCCCTTGTATTGCGGGTTACTCCTTGACCTCGCTGTGCTCCCCCTCTTTGCAAATGCAACCCTCAAGTCTCGTCTGCTCTTTACATACAATAACCCTTGGACTTCGGTATTTGTTCACTGGTTCGTCGGCACCGGATATATGTTTCATTTCGCTCTCTTTGTTTCTATGTGTCGCAAGATCATGCGGCCTGGAGTACTTTGTAAGTTCGGTTTCGTTCAATGCCATAAATGACCCAATATACTAACTGACTTTTTTTTAGATTTCATCCGAGACCCTGATGATCCGGAATTCCACCCTGTGCGGGATGTTCTCGAGCGAAGCCTCATGACCCAGTTGCGGAAGATTTTATTCTCCGCCTTCGTCTACGGGACCCTGGTCATCGTGTGCCTTGGGGGCGTTGTCTGGGGCCTTGGTTGGGGAGCTCCCAATGTTCTCCCCATTCACTACTCGTCAAATGAGCCGGTTCTGGAGTTCCCAGTTGACCTTCTTTTTTACAACTTCTTCGTACCCCTAGCATTCAGCATAGTCAAGCCTGGTGATGGTCTACAAGCCATGTACCGCTGGTGCTTCCGCAAAAGCGCACGGGTTCTCCGCCTCACATATTTCCTCTTTGGAGAACGCCGCGTCGACGAAGAAGGAGTGCTGCAGCTCGCTGAAGACTCGCCCCACCACAACATGCCATTCTGGCGAAAAGCGATGCTTGGTCTCGATGCCGATAAAAACAATGTCATCCCCAAGCCATGGAATGATGTATTCGACGGCATCGACCATAAGAAGGGCAAATCAACACCACAAGAAATCCGATATCTGCGCCACAAGAAGGCTCGACTAGTAGACTCAGGTCAGCTCATCAAGGATGGTCGGTTCGTCCGTGCTCCGGCTTCTGATCGAGTGAAAATCCCTAAAGGCAGGAAGGTGTTTCTAAATGTCAATGAACGAGGACGGCGCACAGATGGCAAGCCAGACGAGGGCCTATATGCGACTGACCAGTTTCAGATGGTGTATCTCCCCCCACATCTCCGCACTCGGATCATGCTTTTCATCCTGTGCATCTGGACTTTTGCTGCCGTCACCGGTCTCAGCTTGACCATCATTCCTCTGGTTCTGGGCCGAATGGTATTCAAGATGGCTCTCCCAGAACATGTACGAACGAACGACATTTACGCATTCTGCATTGGTATTCACATACTTGGTTTTATCACCTATTCCGCCTTCAACCTACGAGGGATCTACCTTAAAGCCAAGGGTTTCCTACACAATGGCCCTGGCCACAAGGTAGGGAACAGCCTGGCGAGTGTCTATCGGCCACTGCGTCACGCAGCCAAGATGGTTTACGCGTACGCTATGATGTTCATCGTCTTCCCTTTGGTACTTTCAACCATCATAGAACTCTATGTGGCAATGCCGACACATACATACATCAACCCACCGACTGCTGCAGGACTGAAGGGCGGCTCAGAGGCTGGAAGTGGCAACACACAACACAACATAAGGATCGTAGAGTCTTGGACGCTCGGTCTACTATATATGCGCCTCGCGGTGCAGCTCATTCGGAAATTTATGCCCAACAATCGATTTACCTTGGCAATGCGTGCTGTGCTACGCCGAGGCTGGCTGGACCCAAATGTTCGTATCTTAACCCGAGCGTTTGTTGTTCCCGGCTTTTTCATATTTGGCCTGGCCATTTTTGCGCCGCCGGCTGTGGTGCTCTGGGCAGAACGGTTGGAGGGCTTGAAGCCCGAAGATCTCCGAGGGGAAGCAGTGGCGCAAAGAGTAGTGAAATTCCGTCGGTCGTATCCCGTCGTGGCCTTTGGCGGCGTCTTGGTCAGATACTTCATCATGGCGAGACATGGATTCCACACGCTCAAGGTTAAAATCCGAGATGACGCATATCTTATGGGCGAGAGACTACAGAATTACGATGGGTCTCCGCTCGAGGTTAAGCCAGCCAGGGTGCACTCGGCTAGGGCTGTATGAAATAGAAACTGAGCACCGGAAGAAACTGGATTCGTTGACGAGATGACGCGCTACGACGCTTGGACAACACTACCTTATACAGTACACTTACTATTAGCGGATATGCCCAGCCCGACTCCCAAGCGATTTGTATGATTGATGGGTCATAGCTCGGGAGTGGAGGATCTAATATGAGCTGGTTGGGCGTCAACTGAAATTTTTGTACATATCACCGCCTTTCGCATAAGGCGCAGACCGCATCACTCTCCGTATTTGGGAGATGAGTTTCGGCAGTAAACACAGCGTTGTAAATAATCTCAAGAAAGAACAAGAGTCACCTTCCAAAAGGTAATATGCATGAATAATAAACATCTATGCCAGCCATGTGTGCGTGCTGAGCACCACCCGGGCAGCCTTATCAAGACCGCAGGTAGGCAGGCATCCGAGCCCAACCAGCCAATACAACAAGGATGGATGTACAAATGCGGGAAATAGGCGGATGAGCCATGACGAAATGTGGGCACACGTGACTTGTCAGCTGTTGGCTTCCGTTGTCACGGACAGTGACGGGCCTAACCCAAAGGGGTATGGTCGTTGCTGTCGGCGTCAGGAGGAAGGGAGTTTGTTACAGTGTTATTGCAGTGGTTGCGGGAGGCCCAGGGCCAGCCAAGGGGGCGCTCGCACGGCATAACTCTGGCCAGACAGGAGCCCAGCAGCAGGGGGGCAGGCCCACTTCAGAGAGTGGGTGGGTGGTCGCATCAACAACACTGACCCAGAAGTCACAAGCCAAAACATCAATGTAACAAACGACGACAGCCTCGACGACGAGCACTGCCAGCGACAGCCTCTGGCTTTGCGGCCTCGCAATCACGGTACGACGACAACCAGGTAAGTCCAGCTGCTTCTGCGACTAGCAGCCCGTGATCTCGACCAACGGCAACCCCGAATTCACTAACCCCCAGCGCCCATCCTCCCGAGAAAGTGAGTAGATTCCCCCCAAGGCGCACTCCCCGACTGTCACCGGCGGCGATGGCCCAACCACTCGTCGCATCAGTCCAAGAAGCGGCGATCGCTAACAGGAGGCACTGCAGAGGGCCAGACACGACCAGCTTGCTTCTTGTGTTATACTTTCTTCTCTCCTCCCATTTGTTATCCGCATTCCTTCCAGACACCGTTATCGCTACGACTTTCATTTGTTATTCCAACATATTGCATGGCGCCTTACCACACGATACGACCCAGAACCGATTAATTACGAGCACATCGGCAGTCTCGCGTCTTTTACTGCCATACCTTAAACCTATTCAAAATCAAGATACCAGAAAACAACACAAAAACAACAACCTCCAAGGCCAGGCAACACTAGTACACCGCCCAACATGGCTGAGCCACCATCCTCCCCACCAAGCGAGGCAGCCAGCGCCGAGGACGCCCTCTCCTGGTACAAGTCGCAATATATTCAGCTTGAAGCAGATCTCGCCGACTTTCGGGAATCTAGTCGCGAACTTGAACAGGAGCTTGAGAAGGACATTGAGCGTGCAGAGAAGCAGGAGCGGGTGCTGCAGGAGAAGGCAGAGACGCTGGCTTTCGAAGTAGAGGAGTGGAAGGTGCGCGCATATCCTTACATGGCATATCTTGCATATTCTCTTGTCTCGGGACGAAACTAACTTGTTATTCTTCTTCCAGCGCAAGTACAAGGAATCCAAGCTGGAGGCGGGATCAGCCCAGGCTGCGTTGGAGAAGGAAATCACCACTCTACGGGATTCCAACCGAACCTTCCAGCTGAAGATTAGGGACATTGAAGTCGCCAACGATGATTTCGAGCGACAGGCCCGCAACACCACCTCTTCTCTAGAGGACATGGAGTCCAAGTACAACCAGGCTATCGAGCGCGGCGTCATGATGGAGGAAGAGATCAAGCAGGGAGAGCAGGAGCGTGAGAATCTTCGAATCGAGTCGCAGCGCCTCCGGGAGGAACTCTCAGATCTCAAGATCGAGGCTGAGCTGCTCCAAGACAAGATCAAGAAGCAAGAATCCCGTCACCTCTCCACCATCTCCACCGATCTATCAGTTCTTAGCTCTCCAACCTTTGACAAGAATGGCGGCGGCTCTCCACACTCAACTGCAAGCTCTCCTCTGGTTACAACGCCACCGGACAGCAAGCCAAATTCCACGGCCGATGCCGACGGCGAAGATCACGAGCCTCCATCACCACCTATGTCCGATGTGTCGCTGTCACTACCAAGGCGCACAGATGCATCATCTCACCGACCCACTGCCTCGATGTCAAGCGCGGCTCGCAAAACTCGCCTGCCTTCTACTTCTGACACTACGCCCAAGCCCAGACCATCCATGACGAACATGCGACCGCCCGGTGGCCGACTCTCTGGTGGCGGCGGTGTTCCCCTGCGAACACCAGCCAACAGGTCTACTAAGCCACGGACCGGACACAAGCTCCCTGCCTCGAATTCTCTTACTCATATTCGCGTTCTCACTGCCCAGATGCAACGCCTCGAAGCTAGGGTGCATTCAGTGCGGTCTAGGTTGCCAGCACCAACCTACACCCCTCCCCGCGCTTCTCCCCGTGGTTCGGCCGCTAATGTCCCATCGACCGTTACCATGAGGAGTCGAAAGCGCACTACTGGATCAACAGCCTCATCTGTGGCTGGAGACGATACCACTCCTACCAATCTCCGCTCTTCCACCTCGTCCAAGCCCAGCCACGTACCCCGACTTAGCACGTCGGGGGTCAGCCGCCTCTCATATGGTCCTCTTCCCAACCGAGCACCGGACCACGATGCCAGTCGCCCAAGCTCACGAGCTAGTGTCTCGTCGATCGCAAGACCCGTCTCTCGCACTGAGATGAATGCGCCGCCCCGCCCCATGTCCAGGACGTCGATATCCGGAGCTCGTACACCTCTTGGGCGGCCCCGATCCTCTCTCGGTGGATCTTACCATGGACATTCAGCAAGTGTTGGTTATGCAGACCTCGAGGAGGAAGAGGAGGATGGCGAACTCCAAACCCCCAGCCGCCAAGGCGTCTATTCAAAATTTGACCCAAATAGCAGTACCAGCAGCATCCCAGGCCCCAGCACTAGTGGAATTCCCATGCCCAGCGGCCGGCGCCAAAGCGGTACTGGCAGAAGAGCAAGCAACAGCGCATTGAGGGATTCAATCTCTCGGCCACGGTCGACGGTTGGGCATAAGCTGCAGGACCTCGGGGAGACCTACTAAGGATATCTCTCCCACTAGACTTGAACATGATACCCCACTCCTCAGCTTCAGTTCTTCTTTGAGATTTTGATTCCTCGGGCGGTTATTTTTCTGGCTTCTGGCGCAGCATGATCTATCGGATGGTTTTTAGCATGGGCAGCGAAAGAACGGCGAAGCGGTTGATTTTTTTGTTGGCCTTTGTTGCTTTTGGGGTGGTTATGGGATACGGCGCGATTTCGATCATGATTCCCAGACGCTTGGGTTTCCTATCTTGCGCGTGGAGCTTTATGAGGATACGGCATACTTCTCTTTTCTACTTTGCGACCCTCGTCCTCTTAATAGATGCTCTATAATATGTGAGCAAGGGGGTGAGGCCCTGTGTGGACTACCCTATGAAGGTATCGAAGCCAGGCGAGGCGAGATGAGTCTACTGGATGATATCAGTCGTGCAAGAATGCACATCATCAATCCGGATCCTGGGCAAGGATATAGAATCCCGGGATCCGATTACATTAGCACATACATTGTTTTCATTTGTCTTTTTGGATGGAGGAGGATGAAGTGAATATCCTCAGAATATATAACATAAAATGATACTCTTAAATTGATTCTCTTAAACCATTGTCTTTACTGCTAGTTGGTTTGCGAAACCGCAATCTCTCATGTGGTCTAAGGGCGGAGCCAACTGAATGATCCAATATTTCACTCTCCTCCTTCGACGATTTCAAAGGACGAAAATGTCTACTATTCTTCATTCTTGATGAGGACACATCAAAATTCCAGATAGTTCATTGTACTTGAAATATCGCATACGCAATGCCGTGCCTATACCGTGGACCGCTGTAGGGTAGGAAGCAGCAGCATCTCATCCCATCTCAATCTTCAGCAGATAGATGATCGACAAAAGGCCAACAAGGCCGCCATCCCTTAACCCGTCTAGGCTAAGCTGGCCACCGCCCAGCAAGTTGTCAATTTTTCTTTTGGATTTTTTCTTCGGTTTTTTGTTTAGCGTTGAGGAAATACCCACGCGCACCCCCCAGGTGGCCAACTACCTACGTTAGTGCGGGGCTCCTTCGGGTAACCCTTTTCTCAACAATTGGGGGAGAGCAAGCGAAGCAAAAATGGGTGCCTTGAGATGAAAGCGTACGTCCGCCGCCGTCGGGCAGGGAGGTTCGGTAGCTGCTGACATGGGTCTGGGGGACGGACAGGTCTTCTTCTTTTTTCTCTGGTTTTCTTTTTTGGTTGGCCCCCTGTCTGATTTACGTTTTGGGCAAGTTCTTCGTTGCATGCTCCGTGGGTTGCTTTGGGGTCAGATCTCGCTTGTTACGTATAGTAGATCTACACATGTTGGAATCAACCGAGAGGCACTGTTTATCGTTGCCATGAGGGATTGTCTCACCGGCTCGCCAGCCGGCTTTACACTCGTGCGTTTTTAATCTGACGCTTCGTGGTTGGCGAGGTAATGGGCCCGTGGCCATTGACGGGAAGCTTCGGTGATCGTTGATCAAGGACCCGGTAAAAGGGGGTGGGTCTAGGACGGCAATGTTGGGGTTCAATTGTAAGGTAGGCCACGAGGGGGATTGGCGGAGCTAAAAGGGACTTGGGATTTTTTTCTCTCTCTGGCCTTCTGGCCCGAGTGTTCACACCCACCTCATGAATGGCGATGGCCTCCCCCCTTCGAGTTTGATTGCGTTATCTTGCTCTGTCTCTATGTCTGTCTCGCCGGTTTCAGACCTTCCATTGATAGGAGGCCGTCGGTCAAAAATGGCCGAGGTATTGCATTCCTGTGTCTGCGATGTAGCCCGATAAGAGATAACACAATGAACTTAAGGCACGTCGATGATTGGCGCTAGTAGACGTCAGAGGCCGCGCTCGGGTGGTTTTTGATTGGCCGGGGAAGCGGATGGATGGGGCAGGCCGCTCCCAAGAGTTTGTCTGGGAAGCAAGCCACTTGCGCTGGGCTTCCATCGACAGGACGGACTGTTGCTGTTGAGCGGCCATGGCTGGTCTGTCTGTCCGCGCGGATCCGGATGAAGTATCCCATGGCTGTTGAGTCTGTTAGCAGCAGGAGACATGGCCTTGAAGATAGCGAGTCATTCACTTGTTCCATCCCATGGGGATTGTTTGTGCTGTGTAGAACATTGGAAGTTCTGTTCTGATTCCTCACGTCAGCGTTTCTATGTCCGCGCCGCAACCACGCACTTACACGATGCATACGCACTTATCAGTAGGTATTTGGTACATCGATATTGCAGAGATATGGCCGGTTCGTTCTGGTATGTGTGGCAGTTTATGAGGCTGCGTGTAAGATCTAATGATCTACACACCCTGCCATTCGCGTGTCGGGCCTTCATCTTCATCTAGCCAAGGAGGGGTTAAATTACTAGTTGGACGGGCAATTTGCCTGGGCGGGGGCCTTCGATGAAGCCCAATCTGGAACATCGCAGCCAGGTCCGCAAGCGTACGCAGCGTTTTGGATGGCCTTCTGACCCGTAGGTATCGAATGGCGCATTGAGACGCGGGATGTTGCAATGACAGGCAGCTGTGCTTATCTCGAGTCGCTCAACGACTGCATGCGCTGCAGAACCGGACAGGGAAGCGGGAGGGTGGATCAGTTGCATCCCGTCGTCCATGTTGGGGTGCGTGGGCGTCTGTGCTTTCGGGCTCCGAATACCAATTATTGCGCGGGTTTCGGGACCCAGGGCTTACATGGATGATGAACCTCCCATATGGAAACACTGCAGAGGGCGGGATCTGTTGGAGGGGCGAGGCAAGACAGCGCTTGAGTAGCAGATAGCCTCGTTGCTAGGGATGGGGCCGTGTTGCGCCGACTCTGATAGAGGCGGTAGGTGGTAGCTCCCACAGCTCTGAAGGCAGATGGGTACATCGGGTCAACAGCTCCCAGCTTCCGGAGTTGCGGTGGTGAGCCCCTCCCTCCCCTACTAAGGTAGCTACAGCACAGAGCTTGGAGGGAGTTTCCCCTACCTCCCCTCCCTTAGATACTGTACCCACCACCCCCATCACCCCTGACCCGCTCCCCGATCGAATGGGTGTCCAGTACGGTTGCCCGCTAACGCGCCAAACTCCCAACAAACAGATTCTGTAGGTTACAGCCCGGCCAAAAGGTATCCTAAAGTCTGGGACCGAGCCCAAGGTGCCATATCTTCTCTCTTCCACCCTCGAATTCTTCTCAATTCTCTTCCTCATCTCTGTATACCCGGGACTGCCCACCCCTCGCAGCTTGGTCTTGTAATCTAACTCCCAAGACCCCCGTGTAATCAATTCCTGCCTTATCCTCTTTGCTTTTCAGCGGTAACCAGCGACCTGCGCTTTCTGATCTCATCCACGAGGGATTGCTGTCTCCTCCTCCCTGCAGCCCTCAGTCAGGTTTTTAGATGACGAGCTAAAGACCTGTACTCCATTGACGACGACGATACTCGCCATCACCTAATCTACAACCTACTCCTCCGATCCTCACATACCAGAAACGACGCTACCATGCCGGAAGCCACCAACGGCCGGCCACAGGCCAACGGCAAGGTCTCATATGCCGAGAAGTACAATATTGCGGACCACTTCATTGGAGGCAACCGCATGGAGAATGCGCCTGCGAGCAAGGTCAAGGACTTTGTCGCCCAGAACGGCGGTCACACCGTCATCACAAACGTGAGTTTTGCTGCCACAGTATCTGCTTTGGCGATGGGCTGGGCTGGAGCGCATTCGACGACCGATCCCTATGCCTGGCCTGGTGTTTTGTCGCCGGCAATGGCAATGGGCAGTCTGTGAATCACCCCACCATCGTGAGGCAGGAATTGCAATTGCCAGACACTGACATTCTGGGACACCCCACCCTGCAGGTTTTGATTGCCAACAACGGTATTGCAGCCGTCAAGGAAATTCGCTCCGTGCGAAAATGGGCCTACGAAACGTTCGGCGACGAGAGGGCCATCCATTTCACTGTCATGGCCACCCCGGATGATTTGGAGGCCAACGCCGACTACATTCGCATGGCAGATCACTACGTGGAGGTTCCCGGAGGCACAAACAACCACAACTACGCCAACGTGGAATTGATCGTGGACATTGCCGAGCGCATGAATGTCCACGCCGTGTGGGCTGGATGGTGAGTTTGTGTGAACCCCTACGAGATCGGAGATGAAATACTCCGTGATCAGTTGATTGTGCATGTATCCAAGTGGGCAAGGGACGCAGCGCTGACAGGTAGCTGAAAACAGGGGTCACGCATCCGAAAACCCGAAGCTGCCCGAGTCGCTGGCAGCATCACCCAAGAAGATTGTCTTCATCGGACCTCCGGGATCGGCCATGCGATCGCTCGGTGACAAAATTTCCTCCACAATTGTCGCCCAGCATGCAGATGTGCCTTGTATCCCCTGGTCGGGAACTGGTGTTGACGATGTCGAGGTCGATAATAAAGGCATTGTCACGGTCCCCGATGATGTATATTCGAAGGGTTGCGTACAATCGTGGGAGGAGGGTCTTACCAAGGCTAAGGAGATTGGCTTCCCCGTCATGATCAAGGCCTCAGAAGGCGGAGGTGGTAAGGGTATCCGAAAGGCCTTGGGCGAGGAGGGCTTCGAGGCGCTGTACAAGGCTGCCGCGAGCGAGATTCCCGGATCCCCTATCTTCATCATGAAGCTGGCTGGCAATGCCAGACATTTGGAGGTGCAGCTTTTGGCTGATCAGTACGGACACAACATCTCTCTCTTTGGTAGAGATTGTTCCGTTCAGAGACGTCACCAGAAGATTATCGAAGAAGCACCCGTCACAATTGCCAAGGCCGACACATTCAAGGCCATGGAGGATGCGGCCGTCCGTCTGGGTAAACTGGTCGGTTACGTTTCCGCCGGTACCGTCGAGTACTTGTACTCGCACGCCGACGACAAGTTCTATTTCCTCGAGCTCAACCCTCGTCTGCAGGTCGAGCATCCCACCACTGAAATGGTGAGCGGTGTCAATCTGCCCGCAGCTCAGCTTCAGATTGCCATGGGTCTTCCTCTGCATAGAATCCGTGATATCAGACTCCTCTACGGCGTCGACCCCAAGACCTCGAGCGAAATCGATTTCGAGTTCAAGAACGAGGGCACCTCACTTACACAGCGCCGCCCCACCCCCAAGGGCCACACAACCGCCTGCCGTATCACCTCTGAGGATCCTGGTGAGGGTTTCAAGCCTTCGAACGGTGTGATGCACGAGCTCAACTTCAGGAGTAGTTCCAACGTGTGGGGTTACTTCTCCGTTGGTACTCAGGGTGGAATCCACAGTTACTCAGACAGTCAGTTTGGTCACATCTTCGCCTACGGTGAGAACCGTGCTGCTTCGCGAAAGCACATGGTTGTCGCTCTCAAGGAACTGAGCATTCGTGGTGATTTCAAGACCACCGTCGAATATCTCATCAAGCTTCTTGAGACCGAGGATTTTGAGGAGAACACCATCTCTACAGGCTGGCTGGATGAGCTCATTTCCAAGCGTCTCACTGCCGAGCGCCCTGATAGCATGCTCGCCGTTGTTTGCGGTGCCATCACCAAGGCCCACATTGAGAGCGAAGAATGCATGGCCCTCTACCGTGCCGGCCTTGAGAAGGGTCAGGTTCCTCCCACACAGATCCTTAAGACCACTTTCAACATTGATTTCATCTACGACGGGTTCAGGTACAAGTTCACTGCTACGCGCTCTAGTACTGATGCCTACCACCTGTTCATCAATGGATCCAAGTGCACCGTTGGTGTCCGTGCCCTGAGAGATGGTGGTCTCCTCATCCTTCTCGACGGCCACAGTCACAACGTCTACTGGAAGGAGGAAGTCGGTGCCACCCGCCTCTCCGTCGATTCCAAGACCTGCCTGTTGGAGCAGGAGAACGACCCCACCCAGTTGCGAACTCCTAGCCCTGGCAAGCTCGTCAAGTACTCTGTTGAGAACGGCGCTCACATCAAGGCTGGCCAGACCTACGCTGAAGTTGAAGTCATGAAGATGCACATGCCTCTAGTCGCTCAGGAGGACGGTATCGTACAGCTCATCAAGCAGCCCGGAACTGGTCTTGAGGCTGGTGATATTCTGGGTATACTCGCCCTGGATGACCCCAGCCGAGTTAAGCAGGCCCAGCCCTTCGTTGGCAAGCTCCCTGAGTACGGCGACCCAGTTGTTGTTGGTACCAAGTCTGCCCAGCGCTTCACCCTTCTTCATAACATTCTTGTCAATATTCTTCAGGGTTTCGACAACTCTGTTATCATGGCAGCCACACTCAAGGAGCTCATCGAAGTCCTTCGCAACCCTGACCTTCCCTACAGCGAGTGGAATGCTCAGTTCTCCGCCCTCCACTCCCGCATGCCCCAGAAGCTTGATGCCGCTTTCAGCCACATCATTGAGAGAGCCAAGGCCCGTCACACCGAGTTTCCTTCCAAGGCTTTGAGCAAGACTTTCGCCAAGTTCCTGGAGGACAGCGTTGCTCCTGCCGATGTCGACACTCTCAAGACCACTCTTGAGCCTCTTACCAACATCACCAACCAGTATGCCGACGGCCAGAAGGCCCGAGAGCTCAGTGTTATCCAGAACTTTCTTGAGCAGTACTGGGATGTCGAGAAGTTGTTCATGGACCAGCGCCAGGACGAGACTGTTATCCTGAAACTGCGTGACCAGCACAAGGAAGAGCTGGCCAAGGTTGTCCAGACCGTGCTCTCACACAGCCGTGTTAGCGCCAAGAGCTCACTTATCCTGGCTATCCTGGAAGAGTACCGCCCCAACAAGCCCAACGTCGGCAACATCGCCAAGTACTTGCGCGAGACCCTCCGCAAGCTGACCGAGCTCCAGTCATCTCGACCTACCTCCAAGGTGTCGCTTAAGGCTCGTGAGATCATGATCCAGTGCGCCCTGCCTTCCATGGAAGAGAGAACCTCCCAGATGGAGCACATTCTCCGATCCTCAGTTGTCGATTCTACCTATGGTGAGACTGGATGGGAGCACCGAGAACCCAACTTGGATGTGATCAAGGAGGTTGTTGACTCCAAGTATACCGTTGTGGACGTCTTGACCCTGTTCTTCGCACACGAGGACCCCTATGTCGCGATTGCGGCTCTCGAGGTCTATGTTCGCCGCGCCTACCGAGCGTACGTTCTGAAGAAGATTGAGTATCACTCTGACGAGATTGATGCTCCTCAGTATCTCTCTTGGGACTTCAACCTGCGCAAGATTGGCCAGTCCGAGTTCGGGCTTCCTCTGCTGTCAACTGGCCCTTCAGGTCCCCCAACCCCTGGTGATGCCGACCCTCTCCGCCTGGAAGCTATTGGACGCATTCGATCAGTTAGTGACATGTCTTACATGACTGCCAAGATAACTGAGGAGCCCAACCGCAAGGGTGTTATTATTCCCTGCAAGTATCTCGAGGATGCTGAAGAGCTTCTGCCCAAGGCCTTGGAGACTCTGGGCTACGCCCAGAAGCAGGCCAAGTCAACCAACCGTGGCCTTGTCAGTGAACTCGCTCGCCAGCGAAACCCTTCTGTCGCTGGCAGCCTCAAGGTTCACACTGGAGAGCTCTCAGCTGTTGTCAACGTTGCAGTTAGAGATGCCGAGGCTACCAATGATCAGGAGACCCTTGATCGCCTCAACTCCCTGATTGCTCCTTTCAAGGAAGATTTGCTTGCTCGTGGTGTTCGTCGCTTGACTTTCATCTGTGGAAACAGCGACGGATCTTACCCTCGCTACTACACATTCCGTGGTCCTGAGTACAATGAGGACGACAGTATTCGTCACATGGAGCCTGCCTTGGCCTTCCAGCTGGAATTGGCTCGCCTTGCCAAGTTCAACATTAAGCCTGTATTCACGGAAAACAAAAATATCCACGTTTACGAGGCCCTTGGCAAGACTGTCGACACCGACAAGCGATACTTCACACGTGCCGTCATTCGCCCTGGCCGTCTCCGAGACGAGATCCCTACCGCTGAGTACCTGATCTCCGAGGCCGACCGTGTCGTCAACGATATCTTCGATGCTCTGGAGATCACTGGCAACAACGGTTCCGATCTGAACCACATCTTCATGAACTTCACGCCTGTCTTCCAGCTTCACCCTCGCGATGTCGAGCAGAGTCTGCAGGGATTCTTGGACCGCTTCGGAATCCGTGCTTGGAGACTCCGTGTGGCTCAGGTCGAAATCCGCATTATCTGCACTGACCCCCAGACCGGCACTCCTTACCCTCTCCGTGTTATCATTACCAACACCTCTGGTTTCATTGTCGACGTCGACTTGTATGCTGAGCGCAAGTCGGAGAAGGGTGAATGGGTCTTCCAGAGCATTGGCGGTACCAAGGACAAGGGCCCTATGCACCTGATGCCTGTTTCCACCCCGTACGCTACCAAGAACTGGCTGCAGCCTAAGCGATACAAGGCCCATCTTATGGGAACCCAGTACGTTTACGATTTCCCCGAGCTCTTCCGTCAAGCTATCCAGAACTCTTGGGCCAAGGCCGTCGAGAAGCAGCCTTCCCTGGCCTCCCAGCAGCCCAAGACTGGCGAGTGCCTCGCCTTCACCGAGCTTGTCCTCGATGACAAGGACAACTTGGAGGAGGTCAACCGTGAACCTGGAACCAACTCTTGCGGTATGGTTGGTTGGATTTTCCGTGCTCGCACCCCTGAGTACCCTGGCGGACGTCGCTTCATTGTCGTCGCCAACGACATTACCTACAAGATTGGTTCTTTCGGTCCCAAGGAGGATAACTTCTTCCACAAGTGCACTGAGCTGGCTCGCAAGCTTGGTATTCCCCGCATTTACCTCTCCGCCAACTCTGGCGCCCGCCTGGGCTTGGCTGAAGAGTTGATGCCTCACTTCAAGGTTGCATGGAACGATGCCGGCAAGCCAGATGCTGGGTTCCGTTACCTGTATCTGGATGAGGAGACCAAGACTCGGTTCGAGCATTCCGTTATTACCGAGGAGATTTCCGAGAGGGGCGAGAAGCGATTCAAGATTGTCACTATTATCGGAAAGGAGGATGGTTTGGGTGTCGAGTGTTTGCGAGGCTCTGGTCTGATTGCCGGTGCCACCAGCCGAGCGTACAACGACATCTTCACCGTCACCCTTGTCACTTGCCGTTCAGTTGGTACGTTGAAATCCGCAGTGGTGACTGCGCTACATCTTCCACTAGACGTTTGTATGCTAACCAACATTAATAGGTATTGGTGCCTACCTTGTTCGCCTCGGCCAGCGTGTCGTCCAGATCGAGGGTCAACCCATTATCCTGACAGGTGCCCCTGCCCTGAACAACCTGCTTGGACGTGAAGTCTACACTTCCAACCTGCAGCTCGGTGGCACTCAGATCATGTACCGTAACGGTGTCTCTCACATGACTGCCAACGATGATTTCGCTGGTGTCTCCAAGATTGTTGAGTGGATGTCATTCGTACCTGACAAGCGCAATAACCCCGTCGCGCTGAGCCCCGTCATTGATGAGTGGGATCGTGATGTCATCTACACCCCTCCCCAGAAGCAGCCGTATGATGTTCGCTGGTTGATCAGTGGTAAGACTGAGGATGATGGAAGCTTCCAGAGCGGTCTCTTCGACAAGGACTCCTTTGTCGAGGCTCTTGGTGGTTGGGCTCGTACCGTTGTGATTGGTCGTGCTCGTCTTGGTGGTATCCCCATGGGCGTCATTGCTGTCGAGACTCGCACGGTCGAGAACATCACCCCTGCCGACCCTGCCAACCCCGACTCTATCGAGCAGGTCGGCCAGGAGGCTGGTGGTGTCTGGTACCCCAACTCTGCCTTCAAGACTGCTCAGGCTATCAATGACTTCAATAATGGTGAGCAGCTGCCTTTGATGATCCTTGCCAACTGGCGTGGTTTCTCTGGTGGTCAGCGCGACATGTACAACGAAGTTCTCAAGTACGGTTCGTTCATTGTCGACGCCCTCGTCAAGTATGAACAGCCCATCTTCATCTACATTCCCCCCTTCGGTGAGCTGCGTGGTGGATCATGGGTCGTCGTCGATCCCACCATCTCTCCAGACACCATGGAGATGTATGCTGATGAAGAGGCCCGTGGTGGTGTCCTGGAGCCTGATGGTATCATCGGTATCAAGTACCGCAAGGACAAGCAGCTGGCAACCATTGCCCGCCTGGATGAGACCTACGCCAACCTCAAGAAACAGCTCGAGAACAAGAACCTCACCGCCGACCAGTCTGAGCAGATTAAGAAGCAGATGGCTGAGCGTGAGAAGCAGCTGTTGCCCATCTACGCCCAGATTGCTGCCCAGTACGCTGACCTCCACGACCGTGCTGGACGCATGAAGGCCAAGGGTGTCATCCGTGACCAGCTTCAGTGGATCAACGCCCGCCGCTTCTTCTACTGGCGTCTGCGCCGAAGACTCAACGAGGAGTTCGTCCTCAGGAAGATGTCCACTAGCGCCCTGGCTCCTGTCGCCAACCAGAGCACTGCTCAGAAGAGCCAGCAACGCGCCCAGAACCTGCACCTCCTGAAGAGCTGGTCTGGCATCAATGACTGGGAGAAGAACGACCAGGCTGTATCCGAGTGGTACGAGTCTGAGAGGAAGAAGATTGGAGAGAAGGTTGAGGCGCTCAAGAACGAGCACCTTGCCGAGGAAGTTGCCACCTTGGTTCGCGACAACAAGCGTGCCGGATGGAAGGGTGTGCGAGATGCTCTTAGAGTGATGCCCGTGGAGGAGCGGGAGGAACTCTTCAAGTATCTCAAGGGTTAAAAAAACTACAAAATAACACAGAGGAGTCGAGAAACGTGTTGAACACTTGCTTTACTATTTCTCCGGGTGTCTTATTTTTACTGTTACGTTTTATCATGTTATATAGCATATTATGTTGATGGTTGGGGGAATGGTTGGAGATACGAAATGGCGTTGGGCATTTGTTTTCCATCTCTTGCTCAAAGATAGATCTTAATACAAGAAATGCATACCTACAACCGCGTTCAATATTCTGGCGAAGACCATGTTTGAGAGTGGATTTGTGTGTATTAACAATATGGGTATTTATGTGTGTGAATATTTATTCCGAGGAGTTGTCCCCCTTTGCCATGACAGCCAAGCTCTAACCGCTGTCCCTCGTTTGCCTCGTCGGATTGGTAATGGAGATGTCCATATTATGGCATCTCATGCTTTGGAATGCCTCTCGCTTCCGCTCCGCACTCATTCAAAGTCCTTGCTCATCTATGTTTTCGTCTTGCGCATTTCATAACGCTAAAAGTACATGATCCAACTGTGTATTGTAAAATATAAGCCAGCCCTAGTCCCCCCCAAATCAAAACACTTAACATTTTTTTTTGGATGATTGTACATGTATTTACGAGAAGATTCTCTCGCCCCATCACTCCAATTGTAACATTGATTTTTTGTTTCTGCCGTTCTGTTCCAGGTTCGTTTGTGCTTCTCTCCTACTCGGACGGGACGCTCGTGCGGATCTGGACGCCGTGCCACTCCTTGACCCGGTCGCCGAGGGCCTTGGTGACGAGGCGCTGCTGGGCGAGGAGGGTCTTGCCCCTGAATTTGGGGGAGACGATGTCGATGGCGTACATGGAGCCGCAGCCGCCCGAGACGTCGCGGACGAGGAGGGAGGTGGTCGGGGAGAGGGTCTCGTTGGAGGAGAGCTGCTCGGCGATGGAGAGCTCGGCGGGGGTCATTGATGGGAGGTCGTCATCTTCTTTTACGGGCGACGCGGCGGAGGAGTAGGCTCGGCGGGCTGCAGTAGCCGGCACTGATCTCGCTGCGGCGGTCTGGTGAAGGTATCGCGGGGGTGGTAGGGCTGGTCTTGGTGCGCATTGGCGGAGGGAGGTGAGGAGGGAGGAGGGCCTCAGGAGCGCTGCTGTCCGCGGGGCGTTGAGCATGGTTTGGCTGGGCGGGAGGAATTGGAGGGGATTGATCTGTCTGGGGGGTTCAATTGTAGGGCGGGCTGGTGGTTTTTTTTGGTTTGTAATTGAGGGCGATGACGGCTTTGGGTTCCCCGGTTATTTCCAGGATGTGATAAGATCATGGGGCTTGGTCATCGGCGTCTCGGCGTCGGCAATTGGTGGGACAGATCAGCAGTGTAAAACGGTGTAATTTTGGGATTTGCCGGTAGTTTAGCCGGCCGAACCGTAAGGAAGTTGGAGCTAAGATAAGTCAAGATAAGATAAGATAATGTTATCAAATATGGGGTTGACGACCCTTACGGGCCATGCCTGGTAGCTGCTACATCATCCGATGATCACCGTCCAGCTATTGAACTATATGACTGTATGGAGGTGATGGCTTGGTATAGCAATTGCTGGCTGGGCATGCTGCGATAGCTCCCATTTGCCTTCCATCTCGACACGATTAGCCCGTAGGAGAACACGTCATTCAAACGCAGGAATGAAGTCTAACAGCGGATCCTACATTTGTTCAAAACTCCCCGACGTGGGGGTTTCGTTTGCATCGCATCGCATCCCCATTGGCCTGGCGCCATGAGGTGAGGGTGTCGGGCTGCTTATGAGCGCATTGACAACCAGACAAAGCCGTTGGACTGAGGCCCGTGGCGTTAGACTAGACCCAATGATGGCCAGAAGCCGTCCAAGCCGTGTGAGGCTGAACGCTCTTTTGGTGCTCTGGCTGCCCGCGGGGGAAGACGAGTTGGAGGAAGCTGCATATTCTTGATCATTTACCCCGCCTGGATGTCAGCCAACGAGAATGAATGGATGACCCGATCGCACCCTTTCAAGTCTTGCTTTCCGGTTATAAGAGGTAGCACCTCGTTCCTCGCCTGAGCATAGTTCTCGGTATCGGCCCATACATTGTATACTATTCTCTTGACCTTGGATGAATAAATAACTACGCCGAACTTCAGATCTTATCACTAGTCAACGTCAATTAATATCAGCCTGACCTATAGCGTCCACCATGGCCAGGCTCACCTTATTGGTGGTAGTTGTGATGCAGCTGTCCCAGCCGCTGTCTGCCACCCCATTCTCATGGACTAAGTATGGCTCCATGGGGCCAATAGGATTCGCATGGCCACCTGACAGGACGTGGAGCTTCGATACTGTATTGGACGAGCCGTGTGGCGCGCCTGGTGTTGGCAACCGGACCGAGTTCCCACTGAGTAAGCGATTGACGCTCTTCCGGTTCGTTAGGAGTGAAGCTGAATGAGACTTCTAGCAAACGGTGCCATATCCCTTCAACAGAAGCAAGAGGCCTACGACTTTCAGGTATCCATCACTTATAGTTCAAGTATGTCTCTATGAGGGTATCCCTACAATCAATCATCTAAGAGAAACACATGAGAGTCGAGACTGACCTGGAAACCAACTTCCCCTCGCCTTAGACCCGAACAATAAAAGCACATTCTTCCCCGTCACCCCGATCCAGTCCTCGCTCGAGTACACTCGCCTGTGCCTCAACCTGACGACTCTCCCCAACGACGTAACGGCCGGACAGAACGCGACGCTGCAGCTGCAGTATACAGCCCCGTGGTATGGCTACCGGGACGAGCAGAGCAAGCGGCACATGGAAGCCAACGAGACCTTCTACGTCTGCGCCGACATTATCCTCGTGGAGAGCGCCGAGCTTCTCCTCGACGAGATTCCGTCGTGCTTTAACATCTCGACGGATTACAATAACGGGGACCAGTGGCCGGATTGGCCATGGGATAATGGTGATGGTGACGACGGGTCAGATCAGGATGAGGCCAAGGGGGGTGTGAATGGTTCCGGCATCTCCGTCGGCGCAGTTGTCGGCATCGCCGTCGGAGGGTTCCTTGCTGTCGCCATCATTGCTGCCATTGTAGCTTGGGGCATCTACTTGGCAAGAAAGGGGAGGAAGGCGAGGGCGGAGGAGGAATCGAACAAGATGTCAAAGGAGGAAGAGATTGCTGCCGCGAAGAAACTCGACGATTCTGATAGCGCGTCTTTGAGTTGAGGGGAATGGTCTTGTGAGGATGTTGGCTTAGGGTCTGGGATCGTAGGCGATCCTTTTCTGTCCTTTTCGTCGCTCTTGAGATTTCTTTCTTGGCTGGAGGTCTGGGATTGCAACTTATTGTGAGCGAGTCGGAGATCGGTGATAAGTCTGAGACCGCAGAACGAACAATGTCCTCATGCGCGTGAAGCAATTCATTCACTGCTGGCGGAAGTGTCTAGCACACGGCATAAATTGAGCTATTTCTTGTCCAAGAGCTTGCAAGTGTTTTGTTAATTCTCGTGTATGTGACCTAAGCACTCGCATAGCTGTACGGTGGGTGGCCACGTCTTAGGCGGCAGAGCCGACCATCATATCAGAGAGATGTTCCATTTCCCGTCACATCTTGATACGGTTTGTTTGCTTAGGCTTTGTTTGTTTATTTGCTGACATTCTGATGTCAATAGATGAATGTCCAGGTTCAAACGAAGGGAAGAAGCAAGGGGGGCTGTTGCTGAGAGCCCCGAGAGGAACTGATTGGCAGTTCTAAATTTGGATGTGAACGATATTAATTAGAGTGTTTTACAATAGATAGACTTTGACAGCATCTGTCTCGTCTTCTATGCGCATGTATGTACATGTATGTACATCTCAACAAGGCATTTGACATTATATGTGCATCTGCCAGATCTCTCAGAATCACGCGACACGCATAATCGATGGAATGTAGGCGAACGAGCAGAGAAGCATAATGCTTGATGCCTGGCCAGCATGATGGTTTTCCTGGGGTCCGTCATCTTGTCTCCCAACTGCATACATTAATCCATGCATATGCATTATGTATTGACAGGGCACGCGTTCCTCCCATCTGCCTATCAAATGCCTGTCATTACATCCGCATGGAGAGCCTGCTTGTAGAGTCTCACCTGGCCGTTACTTTGCGTAGAAAACGTGCAGTAGAAAACAAAACAACCACATGCCCTGGTCAGTGCAATGGAGAAACCCTGGTCTCCTGTTCCCAAAAAGGCTTGGACAAACCGGATAGTGGCTTGCTGAAGCGCCTGGTCAGAGCTGAGATCTACATCTCTCATTCTACCCATGCTTTCTCCCTCTTTTTTTCCGGCCCAACGCTCTCCACACCCTCTTCTCATGCTGTGAAAGGAAATGCTGCTGCACGGTGGATGGCCAATGGCCAGCTGAAACCGTAAGCAAGTGCCGGAAAGGGAATCGCCAAGGGAGGGGGAGAATCAATTTGGAATCAAATACTGGATGAACGGCCGCCCAGGGCTGAGACTTGCAGTGACAGTTGCCAGTATCTGCTGCTAATCAAACCCTTGCTTATGCATATAATTGGCCAAGAGGTAGGAGCAAGATGGAGAGAGCCTGCGAGGTTTGGACCGTTAGGATTTGATCAATGTCTCGGGTCCCAGTCACCTGCCTGGCGCGTATTTTCCCTTTTCATGTATTTTTACTCTTCTTGGGGTCTCGGTTGCATCCAGAGACAAGCTGTCAACCTCATCTTGGTGCCCGGCAGCATTGCGGACTGCCTTGCCATTGGCTCACCGCACTACATACATGCTGGCATTGAGTACGAGATGTCTGTACGTGCTCGTATGCATACGGGCACATGCACAAAGGGATGGACAACTCTCACCCTCCCTTGCCATCTACGCAGATGACGGTGACTCAAAGACGCCATATCATGCCATGAGGCAATGTGAACACCGCCAAGGTCTGCATGAAGATTCCAGATCTGCGTGTCGCTGTCTTGCTTTCTATCATCACAAAGGGAGAGAAGTGAAGCCCAAGGAGGCAGCCGGCTATTTTGAACGTTATCCAAGGCTTGTGCGTACTACGCAGGTGCCGCGATACCATGTACGTGTGATGATAGGCGGGAAATAGACTAGGCACCGGGCCGCCACCCACAAGCCGTCGTCAATTTTGATGATCCCCGGCTCTGGAAGCCTCTGGATAAGAGCTAAGGCCACATTGCAGGGGACTTAACCTCGATTGGGAAGTATGTCCTGCTTGTTCCATCTCCAGGACGAAGCTGAAATGCAGCTCCTCGAGACGGGACTGGGCGATACATGTTAGCCTGAGTGTTGATCAGTTTAGTCCCACGTCTTGGCGTGCCCGCTCGTGGGAGTTGGAAGGTAGTGGTCGGTAGTAGTAATACGTGAGGTATTAGGGAATGGACGTCTGCTGGCACCATCACGCGAGTATAAGACTTGCGGCGCTTCCGCATTCTCGGATTCGTGGTCTCGCCCCTCTTGTTTTCTTTTCAAACGCTAGACTGTGAGCTTTCTTTTACTGCCTTGCCAAGCTCAAAGCAGACTATTGGTTGTTATCCTTGCCCTTCACTCCCCAGAACGAATATTTCGTCGTTGCTCTGAACATACCTACCCTTCCAAAGGGGAGCACACGGCTTGTGCTTGAGCACGCTCACCTCACTTGTCCTCTCCCCTCCCACGTAGCATTGCTTGAACACACTTTGGCTTCAAGATGTCTTTGGCTAAGATCGGTCACGGTTTGATCAACCGGATATTCCCATCTGAACGACCTTCGCCAGAAGGGAGAGCAGAACAAGGCTACCCACCACACGATGCCCATAACTTGTCACACGGACACGGACACGGACACGGACGCGTCGAGTCTCCTCTTGGGGACGACAAAGATCGTCGCATGACAGTCATGACACTGGACCCCAGCGCCCTCATTCCTCCTGAAGACAAGCTCCTCATCTTCCGAACGCTGACTGGCATCGACACGGTACCGGCTGTGAGCAACTCTGGGCACGCGGTGCGATCGGCCGCCAACATCGGCCTCTACACACGAGTGGTCCGCAACGAGCGGTTCGCCAAGAAAGGATACCGAGTCTCGGCCGTGTCAGTCAACGGCTTCCTGGGTCTGCAGATCATCATCGGCGCTGCCCTGACGGCGCTGGGAGCCGCCAACGGATCTTACAACGCCATCATGGGGCTCGGAGTCTTCAACACCATCATTGCGGGCCTGCTGGCGTACATCAAGGGCTCTGGGATGCCCAACAAGTTCAAGCGGAGCGAGTACGAGTGGCGCAAGGTGCGCGAGTACATCGAGCAGCGGGAGCGGGAGTTGTGTCTGGCGGACAGCGGGCTGGACGTGTACCATGAGGTTAAGGTGGTGGAGGAGATGTACTACCGAGTGAGGGAGGAGTTGCTGGCGGGGATCAAGGAGCCGGCGTACCGGCCGGCAGAGCAGGCAGATGCCACAAGGCCGAAGAGTGAGCTTGGTCGGTCACAGTCGGTGCTGAGGAGGCAGTCGATGGGTTCGGAGCCACCCTATGCTGGGCCTGGAGGTGGCATCCAGCAACATAATAACAGTAATAACAACAGCACCGGGATCGTCGGTGGTGGTGGTGGTGGTGGCGCAGCGACAGTCGGAGGAGCGCCTATGGGGACTATCGACGAGAAGCACTGATGAGGTCGCGGGGCCAAGAGAGATGTCGGCGGTATTGATGAAGCGTAATGGTGTATATGATAATTCTGATGATTCGAAAGCTGGGATTGTTCTATCGTCGTCATCTCTGCGTGTGTCTATCTTGTTGCAGCGAGATGCTTCCGCAAGAGTCATATCATTTTGCGATATCATAATGATACCTGTTATACAGTGGAAAAGGACTGCCTGCTCCGGTAAATGGCTCTTTATTTCACCCTTGTCGCACCGCTACCACTCGTGGTGGTACGCATACACCCTTCCACAGGCTCGCCTCTGTCCCAGGCCCTTTGTCAATTGCCTATACCGGAGCCCGGAGCTTGGGCTCCACGCCGATCCTCTGATGGCCAATCTACCGATTGATGCAATCCGATGACTGTGTTGCGTGTCGCGATGCAGGTCTCTGCCATTGGTCCCGCTCGATGCTTTCTTTCATGTCGAAAACAAGAATTTTTATTGAATTTATCCTCATCTTCAAGCTGAGTGCCCGCAGAAAATAAACGGCAGGAGCAGTTGGGCACGGCCCAGCTCCTCCTGCTTATTGTAGACATGACTTAAGCGTTGGCAGGAGCGTCTGCCGGAGATAAGCTTAAGATAAGCATGAAGAGAGCTTTTCTTCCTCTTCCTCGGCCTCTTCTCCTATCTCGTTAACTTTGACGAATTTTTGTCTTCAACAAGACTCTGGTGCTCTCCCTCGCTTCTCTCTGCCTGTCATTTCCGGGCTGACCGATGAATGATATTCACATGCACCGGTTTCTCACGATGCAACCTCGATATGCATGCCATCTTGACCTTCCGGAATACCACCATGGGTTTCTCCAGGCCCGTTGCCACCAATCCGACGCAATTGCCGCTTTGGCTCATGCTGGCAAAAAGTCCAGCATGAAGCAAATTGGACAAATGGGGCGCCTTTTCGTCGTCAGCGGATGGGATCCCATGAATGAGCCTGGACTGGTTCATTGGTACCTCCTTATCCTGGCCTGGTAGTCTGTCATCTAAAGAGCTGCCATGGACAGGGCACATCGGACAGCGCGGCACAGGCTAGAAGATCTTCTTCCTATCTCGGTCTATCTATCACCTAGACAAACACTATCCCTGCTCTAACACGCGAGCCCCCTCTACAACCATCGCCTGCCAAGTTGAGCTTCAATTGGGATCGCTATCATGGGCAGCCTTGGGTCCTGGGGCCCCTGCTTTGCTTCCCATTCGCCCACTCATTAATGATCCTGATTGGAGCCCCGATATTACCCCCTGTACACTGACCTTGTTCCTGCTTGTGTCCCACTTGATCTTTCGCGCTGGGTTCCTCCACGCGCGGCACTCCTGAGGCCATCTCCGGTATTGGCGTTCCGTTGAACGTCTTGAGCTGGCCCTGGCAATGGATGTCTACCCCGTGGCGAATTCCGCCATTGAGTCCAACAAGCCAAGCCTGTCTGTCTCTGGCAGCGGCCTCATCCCTGTTCTGATGGGGGTATGGAAATGAGTATAAGTGCTAGGTCCTCCTTTGGGGGACCTTCAAGTTGTGATCTTGTTCACACCACACTCATTCCATTCCTTCGTCTTTTGATTACTTGGGTGTGTTGGGCCATTGAGGTCAGTGACACACTGCCCGTCATTCTACCATGGCACCTCTTTCGAACCTATTCGTGTCGCTCCTTGCCACAGTTGCTTCTGTGTCGGCTGCGAAGCTTTCTATCAAGCCTAATTCAGCTCGCGTTCCGGGTGCTTACATCTTTGAATTTGAAGATGGACAAGTAAGTTTCGTTGCATGTCGTCAACTTTCTTGAAATCTTGTTCCCTGACTCTTTATTCGTTCAGGATACCACCGACTTTTATAAAACCATTGAGGCAGAGGGCAGTACTCGCATGAAACTTGACTACAAGCTCTTCAAGGGTGTCTCGGTCAAGCTTCATGACGTGGAGAATGCCGACGCAACTGCCATGCAGATTGCTGAAAGGCCTGCAATTAAGAACGCCTGGCCGGTTGAAGTTTTCAAAGTCCCAGATGACAAGATCCATTGGACTGGAACACCGGAGTCCAAGAACTTGGTTCAGAAAAGGGCCAATGAGACCGTCGACACATTCACTCCTCATGTCATGACCCAAGTGGATAAGCTTCGCGCCCAGGGCATCACTGGAAAAGGCATTAAGATTGCTGTCATCGACACTGGTGTACGTTGTTTATGCTTTTATTGACAACCAGTTGGCTAACCGGCTTTTCAGATTGACTACGGGCATTCGGCACTGGGTGGATGCTTTGGAGAGGGCTGCCTTGTTGCATTTGGCACTGACCTGGTCGGTGACGATTATGACGGTTACAATACACCTGCACCCGATGATGACCCAATGGACTGCTATGGCCATGGAACTCATGTGGCAGGAACTGTCGCTGCGCAGGAGAATGAGTACGGATTTACGGGTGCCGCCCCTGATGCTATTTTAGGCGCCTATAAAGTCTTTGGATGCCAAGGTGAGGCAGGTAACGATGTTCTCATTGCCGCATACCACCAGGCTTACGAGGATGGCGCCGACATCATAACTGCTTCCATCGGTGGCCCCTCAGGTTGGACCGAGGAACCATGGGCTGTTGCAGTATCCAGAATTGCCACCGAAGGTGGTGTGCCATGTCCAGTATCTGCAGGAAACTCTGGGACAGCTGGTTTGTTCTACGCATCTACAGCTGCCAACGGCAAAGGCGTTCTGGCTGTTGCCTCGTTTGATAACATTGAGTCGCCCACACTACTATACGTCTCAAACTTTACTATCGATGGTGGAGAGGTGCAGGAGTTTGGCTACACACCTGGTACACCTTCGGACTGGGCGGGCGTGAAGCTCCCACTCTGGGCTCCCGAATTTGACACATCCATCCCTGATGGCGGCTGTGATGCATACCCTGATGATACACCTGACTTGAGCGGATACATTGTTCTGGTGCGTCGTGGATCTTGTACTTTCGTTCAGAAGGCGAACAACGCCGTTGCAAAGGGTGCTAAATACCTCATCATTTACAACAATGCAGCTGGGACAGGAGAGTTCGACGTTTCGACAACAGAGATCAAGGCTGCTGGTATGGTTACTGCTGACCAGGGTGCCGCCTGGATCAAGTCGCTGGCCGCCGGATCCGAGGTTGTGCTCAGCCTGGCCGATCCAGACACCGCGGAGAGGAGTCTAACAAGCCCTGTCAATGAGGCTACCGGAGGCGCTCTGAGCTCTTACACGAGCTGGGGTCCGACCTGGGAATTGGACGTTAAGCCCCAGCTCGGATCTCCCGGAGGCAATATTCTTTCCACCTACCCTCGCGCGCTCGGTGGATATGCCGTTCTTTCTGGTACTTCTATGGCATGTCCTCTGGTAGCTGGAGCACTGGCCCTTATTGGCCAAGTCCGTGGTACCTTGGATCCCACCTTGCTTGAGAACTTGCTCTCCAGCAACGCCAACCCCCAACTGTTCAACGACGGATCGAGCTTCTACGAGTTCTTGGCACCCGTTCCACAGCAGGGAGGTGGTTTGATCCAGGTATACGATGCCGCTTATGCAACAACTCTGCTGGAGCCATCTAGCTTGTCCTTCAATGACACGGCCAACTTTGTGAAGGTCAGGAATTTCACTCTGAGCAACATTGGCAAGGAGGAAATTACTTACCAGATCTCTCACGTATCTGCCATCTCCATGTATACTCTTGATACTGGGAGCATTTACCCTGCCGCATTCCCAAATGAGCCTGTTGATGCCCGCGCAACCCTGGACTTTAGCGAGGATAAGGTCACCATCCCGGCCGGAGGCTCTGTCACGGTTGAGGTTCTACCTACCCCTCCCGAAGGTCTTGATGCTGAACGTCTGGGATTATGGTCCGGTTATGTCGCCGTGAATGGCTCTGACGGCACCTCGCTTTCTTTGCCTTACCAAGGACTCACAGGCTCCTTGTATGACCACATCGTTCTTGGAGCCGAGGACGCCTGGATTGCGTACTCAAATGATGAGAATTATAACGTGGTCCCCGGCAACACGACCTTTACTCTCCCAGCACAGGGCACCGAGCCAGGCGATGATGCTGTGCTACCTGCTCTTGTGGCCTACTTGGCACTCGGCTCAAGCCAGTTGCGTGCTGACGTTGTTCCTCTGAACACATCCGCTATCGGCCAACTCGATGGCCTTCCACTCTGGTATCTACCTCGAGGAGCGAATATTCAGACATGGGCCGGTCTCCTTGATAACGGCAAGTATGCTCCTGAGGGGAAGTACAAGATCGTGACGAGAGCTCTGCGCATTAACGGAGACGCTGGCAAGGAGGCTGATTGGGACGTCGCGGAGACACAGGCGTTCGGGATCAAGTATGCGACAGCGTAAGCTTAGTGTCGTCACTAAATATGATAATATTTTATTTTATGAATGGCATGATTGAATAATTCTGAATGCATTGGTTGCATGGATATCGAAGCCGGCTAGTGCCGAGTACATTGAGTTCCGTAATTATATGACATCTGCATTCTATTCTACCCGGTGAATACTCCCTAGCTTCAGATGAAGATATTACGGCAACGGTAGGGGCCCATCAAGGATACGAACATTGATTCATACATGCTGGACGACACGAACGATGATTCTACTGATCGGGGCTGTGTGGGCGGGATACGTAATTACACCTTATCGCCGCACTAGGCAGTCACGAGAAGATGGTATCAGAGAGGGAATAAAAAAAGGACTATGCGTAGATACTGGCCCGAGGGTGTCTGGGTCATTTATTGGTGGACTGACGAACGAATACGCTTGTCAGAGGATATCATAACAGAAGCCTGCTTGGCCCGGCTTGCTCGATGAGAATAGGCTCCCAGATTAGGTTTGGCAGGCACCCAAGCAAGCTTTTATGAAAATGGAGATTGCCTATCTTAATAAGACTGAGCTGGAGTGGGGAAAGGGGAAATTTGAACAGCAGACTATTGTCTTATGGTCTGAAGATCACCAGTCACTGCCGGTGAAGCATTGGATTGGTTTGGATGGATGGTATGTGCCTGCGGCGAGATTGCGGCGGTACTCTGAGTCACGTGATTTGTTCCAGTACCCTTACATAATCGGAGGCTAAGGGTGGATCACGAGAGCTTGGTAGCAGCCAATGGGAGGCACAGAGCCAGGGACCTGTCAGGCAGCAGCATTCTGGAGGGAATTGTGGTTTGCGGAACCGCGGGGGAGAGGCTGAAGCGAATCAACGGGCTGCCATCGCAATTGCCAGGCACCAGGATAAACTGATTCCAGCAACAGGATTACGACGTTGCGTGGCGGCGCCGGGTTTCTGTCCCATTGCTCTTTAACTGTGTCCTGCAGAGCTGTGCCCGTCGGCTGCCGCCAGTCCATATCTCTCGTCGCAGCGCCCGGGTCTGGGTCTTGGCATGCATCCAGACGTCTGAAACCACACTCCAGCTGGCATCATCACCGCCATCAGACGGCCTCAATCGCACGACCAACACTGCTCTTCGAGGCATGGGCACGCTAGCCGGTTGATCGCATTCACCATCTGTGTCTGTCGCTTTCACTTCTTCTTCACGCCCATCATCAGCATTGCTTGCGCATTCCCCAACGAATCAGTGGCTGTGGCGGAGCGTTCCAAGTTAGCGGCAATTCTACTCATCGTGACTGCGCTCAAATTGCAGGTTGGGAGTCTTGTTTCTCAGTTCGCCCTAGCTTGTAAAGCCTAGTCAGTAATTATGGATTCATTTCTCCCTCTCGGCGGCTTCCAGCTGCCCTTCCAGCAGCGGCTTAGCCGACTGTACAACGACACCAAGAAGTCAAGCGACTTTGTCAAGGAGCCTGTCAAGAATGAAGAAGACCCCGATATCAAGGCCTTGCATCGGAAGCTGCGCATTCAAAAGGATCGGTTGGTGAGCTGGGGACTTGAATGGTCGGATCCCAAGTCTGCTGAGATTGATGAGTCGTTATCAAACGCAGGCTTGAGTGAGGTCGTCGGCAGCGTCATGTCGACAATCAAGGACATTCTGGCAGAGGCGGAACCTCTGTGGCTGAGCTCCAAGCATCTCACAGAGCCAAACCGGCCTTCTGCAGATCGCAAACCACCTCTCGTTCGATGGGACAAGACTCGGTTCGAAGATTTAGTTCGCGACCTGACCTCCTCCATCGACACACTTTACGATCTATCCCGTACTCGGTCGATGGGGGCAACTCCGCGTCCAGCACCCAAGGTCCCGCCAAAGGACCCATTGCCCAGCCAGGACTTCAGGCCTTTCGAATCAACCCGAATGCAAACTCCCCAATCAATACGTCCTGACTCTTTGACGCATCTTCGACCTCGCCAAGGCAAAGAAGGTGCAGTTGAGAGAGAGGTGGTTTTCATGAGCAAGACTGCCTACTCTGAGCTCACCCACGGTACAGCACGAGAGCCGTGGGCTCCCTTGTTATTAGAGTACGCCACATACGACTCGATTTATTCCATTACCGGCATTTCACCACCCATGGATCGCTTTGAGAAGCTATCCGCCGCCCTTCAGCAGGACCCTCAGTTGTCTCCTAATACCTGGACAGGCCTGCCTCGTCTGCTTGGGTATTTTGAGGATCTTGAAAATTCCCGCTTTGGTCTTGTCTACCGATTTCCACCATCATTCAACGCCGTTTCTTTTGAACATGTCACCAAAAATCCCTTCTACAGTTTGCCAACACTGGCGGACGTTCTCAACCACCCAGACGCAGAGCCTCCCCTTGAAGCCAAGTTCAGACTTGCTCATAACCTGGCAAACACTGTCTTTGACATGCATGCCCGTGGCATCACGCACGGCAACTTAATCCCAAGAAATGTCTGCTTCACCGACTCTGTCACTGGGCCAACTGTCACAATTGGGGAAATTGACGTCCGACGACCGCTTGTGTCCTCGTTTGACATCTTTCCCGAAGACGGGAATGGCTCCGCCGACGCCTCCCTTATGAGCCCACGGGAGCCTCAGTACCCCGGTTCGAAAGTGGCCGGAGACGAGCGCACTCGCGAGTTTCTCTCGCTAGCGACAGTGTTGCTTTCGGTTGGGCTCTGGCTTCCTCTTGAAAGCATCACGAATATCAACACTTCCGGGACCATTTCTCAGCCGATGCTCAAGCAACTCTCGCAGAAGTGTGGATCCATATATACACGGGCGGTGCAGGCATGCTGCTCCGTGACGGAGCAGGGAAAGTTGGGAAATTCTTCCATCGAGGATCTACTTTCCTCAGCCCAGACAAAAATATCTAAATGTCTCGAAGCATGCTGCGTCTTGGATGGCGACAATGAGTTGGATGATAGAAACAACTCTGACCTGCAACAGAGCCAGCCTAAATCCCAATCCAAGCTGCCCGTAGCCACTCCCCCTCCTGTAGGATCCTCCAAGGACTTGCGAGATGTCAAGTCGCCGGCGTTATTTACACCACCCCTCGCCACCCCCGATCCGATCACCAAAGGCAGAGAAGCTGTCAAGGTTGAGACACACGATCTTGGTAAGAAATCCCACCCAAGTGCTCGATCTATTTCACACTCGATTTGTTGAAGCTGACCTTTTCAATTGCAGATGCCCGGCAGAAGGCGGCAAGTAAATCTGAAGCCAAGCTAAAGCTATATCCACACATCCCTCTCCCACCCGATGCCGTCGACAAGTGGAATACAATCCTCATGCCTCAAATCAACCTCGCCCTGAAACAATTTTACCGAAAACATCCAGAGTCTGTGGAAATATCCTTGGAATCCGTTGGCCCCTCGCCAGCGATGACGAAGCCCACAGTCCTTGTTGTCTGTACATCTGTCGGCAAAGTCCGTGCAATTCTCAAGAAGCGCGTTGGAGACTTGTTCGACGAGTCGACCGGCTTTGCCTTGAAGGTGTGCCGAGGACAAGTGCTGCGCTCTCGCAGAGATTCATCGTTCCCGGTTCGGTCTATGGCGAATAGAAGCCACGTTTCCGCCGACAACGCCGATGATGGGGAGATAGATGCCATCAACCCTGAGTTTCAACAAAGACCAGGGAATGGCGCAAGCATTGGAGCATGGATTGGCGATCGACACTTACCTCCTGTCAGCTTCGGTGGACTTGTGCTTGTCGATGACAAGGTATATGGAATGACAGTCCACCACATGCTTGATGACCCAGACCGAGACTTTGGCCAAGACGAGCCGACTAGGAGCAGTGCTGTACCAGGCCATGAATGGTTTGATCAGTCAGTTGCCGGCAGCAGCGCCGATGATGACTTCTCCTACGAGCTTTCAGATACAGAATCCGAGGCATACTCTGAATCAGATATAACCAGTGACTGGGGCGACGAGGAGGACGAGGAGGAGGACTCATTTGAGCCTGGTGACATTCCTGGTATTGAGCCTGGCTGTGGCGACGGATATATTGTCACGCAGCCAGCGCTTGATGATGTTGAGGAGGGCTTTTATCCTTCGAGCGAGACTGAGGATGAGGACCATCTGGATACCTTCAGCCTCGGAGAGATGTTCGCCTCGAGTGGAATTCGTCGAAAGGAGGTCAACGGGCTGGTCCACGAGGTGGACTGGGCTTTGTTTGAGTTCTCTTCAGATCGCGCTCCAGAGGACAATTTTATTCCTCGCTCAAAAGGCTTCACAACAGTACAGTCAAAAGCAAGTACCATTCTGCATCCTACTGCGGTTGCTCCATTTTCATCCCTTCCTGGGCTGGAGGTGCAGTGTGTTGCTAGGACAAGTGGACTACAGACAGGCCAGATATTGCCTACCCTGACCAGCGTCAAAATTTATGGGCGTACTTCACCGAGCCACACATATCAGATCGCAAGCCTTCCTGCCTCCAAGATACCCGTGCATGATGAGAGCCGATGGGCCCCGATCGGTATACCAGGAGATAGCGGAGCATGGGTCGTTGATCATCACAACGGTCAGCTTTGCGGCCATGTTCTTGCCTGGAGTCAGCGCAAGCGAGTTGCGTACATCTGCCCCATGGACGTGCTGCTCATGGACATTGCTGAGACTCTGGACGCTACCGAGATCAAGCTACCTACAGGCGAGGTAATACTCTCCTCTGCCCAATCCGCCGTCCAAAAGATGGAGCGATATCATGGATCAACCTCTGATGGCGAAGATGAAACAGACTTTTGTGAAGACGAAGTTGCCCCTGCGCTGTCCAGAATCTCCCAAAACCCACCCAGCAACGGCCGAGTTAGCGGCCAAGATGCCTCGAGCTCACTCCGGATGAGCTCTCAGGGTAATATCGCAGCCCTCAATCGCACAATGAAAGAGCTTCGAGTTGATTGTGGCATCGGTGTAAGCGGCTAGGTTGGATTTCCTTTGTTATTGCTATTTATGTCAGATGATACACTGGTATTGTCTGCAATATTGTCGTATTTGTTTTTATTTGGGAGGAAATACCAAATCGGAGTAAGTTTCCGGGGGGATCTTGGACACGAATAAGAATCGGTGGATGGAATCATTTTTGAATATCCTTCGCTTAATTCTAAATTGAATGCCGAATTGGCTACATGAAGTCATCCTCCCAGTCGGCGTTCCTCTCCTGGTTACTAGAAGCGGCCATATTATCCTCCGTGAACAGCTCATCATAAGCGTGATCCTTTTGATACTTCTTCTCCTGCCACTCCTTGGCTTGTTTGGCCTCTTCCTTTTTCTGCACGTCGCAGAAATAAAGAGACGCATTTAGTTCTCGTACTGAAATGACCAATTGGGTACACGGGAAGGGGATGAGGGGAAGGGGTAACTGACCCGTATAAGCTGTGCTGCTTGGTCTCGCTTGCGGAGCTCCCGGAGGCGGTCGTCCTTCTCCTGCTTGAAGTCGGGCTTCTTCTCCACCTTTGTCTTGTTGAGACGGTTGACGATGGGGTTCTCGCGCTGGACCACGAGGATGCGCTTAACCTACGCGACGAGGGGGGGTAAGGATGAGTTCTTCACATCCAATGGCTCTCTCTCTCAAGGGTCGAAACCACCTACCTGGCGCTGGTCCTTGAAGCTGACTTGGCCGACGTCCATGGAGCCGTCCTTCTTGAGGTTCGCCCATGGGGTGTAGATGATGGTGATGTTGTCCTTCTTGTTGCCTGCATCGTGGGGGGGTCAGCAGGCACACCACCCCGGGGGATTGTGATGTGATGGGGACGCGTTACCCTCAATGGAGTTCGCCTTGGTGAGCTGGGCCAGGTCGACCAGGAGCTCCTGCGGCAGCTTGTCCCACTCCTGGCCGTCTCTCATGCGGAGGTAGATGTGGGCGCTGGAGAGCTTGTCGACGTGGAACTACATTACGCCAGAGCGAGCGGCAGTCAGTCATTCTCCCTCTTCATCGTAGATAGGTATCCTGCGCTCTTCAGAATCTACCTACCCTGTATCTATGTCAGTCCTGAACGGAAGGCGGGGATGGAGGGGCAAAGACCACGCGCGAAACCGACATACCAGACATCCTCTTCCCAGCCGTACTTGATGAGGTCCTCGTCTACTTTCAGTGTAAGCTCGTATATTGAAAACAGATAGCTCAGGGGCAAGGAGGGTTGCTGACTCTCGAACTTGTCCTTGCCAACGTAGATGAAGCCCGAGGGCTCCACGACGTTGGAGGTGAAGTAGTAAACCATAATAAACGCCGCACGTGGCTGCCTCGAGGGGAAAAAGGACAAACAAGAATATAATCAAAGAGATATATGCAAGCAGGAGGCAGGAGACAAGGCGAGCCAAACTGGCAAATCCAAGGCAAGTGAGGCGCCTATGATACGCAAGAACGCTGCCAAATCAACGGGCGTTTATTACTGCACACGAGAAATTTGCGACAAACGGTGTGGCGAAGCGGCCCTGTGGCGGTGGGCGGATGTGGCGCGTGCACGTGGAGGGCGACCCACCCTAGACCTCTATAAGTGAGGCTCTCACCATGTTAGCTGAGTGTGCTACAAAATCGAGTAGCAGAGCATCATTGCTTTATCATGATGGTAAGGCATTAGTTTAATTGAAGGGGGACGTGATCTGGGATCCAATTCGCATTGTTCTGTCAATCAGTCTATCGCTTTGGCTGTGGTATCTGAACTGTTCACCAAGAACTCCTAGGATCATCGTGTGTTTATCCAAACCTCGAAACATCACCAAAAGCACTCGATCACTCAAGAATAAACCCTCTGAATCAAAGCCTCACCGCTCCAGGGCTTACAAAATCCATTTCCGACAGGAAGACGAAAAAAAGGAGGAGATAGTAAGCCGCCAGCTTCTCACTCCAGAGACTTGATGTAAGTTATAAACGCTCTCTCCTGGTTGCCTTTACCACTGTTAGTATATATCAAATGATATACTTGGACTGGATTATATGTAAAGAATTACGAAAAATTAAGGACGTATGTGTGGAGACGTTGAGGATAGAACTTACTGAGGCGAACCTCTGGGTCGCGGCTGATGACCTTGATGGGGCTGGAGCAGTTGTGGGTGATGTAAGTTTGCCCATGGTCTGGATTCGCAGGAATGCCAAAAACCTGGACCTCGATGCGAAATTTCCCCTTTTGCGTGATATTGGTGTGCCGGATCTTGAAGTAGCACGTGTTGGCCTCGTCGAAGATGGGGGACGCTATAGTATGACCGCCAAGGGACCCATTCACATACTCCTCATTATTCTCGTCCTTGAGGCAGATTTTTGCCGAGAAGTAGCTGTAGCCGGCGGGGAAGTTCTCAAACTTGATGATGATGGGGGGCTTCCTGAAGTTGGCTCCCCTCTCAACAATGGAGGGCTGGTATATGAAATTAAGGCTTGCCATTGCAAAACAGAGGTTTGTAAGCGTGGAAGATTCCGTTAATAAAAGGAGAAAAAGTTGGAATAAAGAAGATGAGATCTAGAAGAAGTTTGCTGCTGGATTGACTGATGTCGACGGAAACGAGCAAGATCTCTCGGGAATCCTCAACCCTCTTTATACCGCATCCCAAGCCTCCGATCCAGTCCTTCGAGCCTCACTGAAGCGACTGAGGATCATAAACAGGTACCTCAGCTCTGAAACCTCCCAGCCGACAACGCCAAGAAGCGAATTTCCGCGGAGAAGCATGTGACGATACCTGGCGAACCATTGAAGTCACTCTCTCGTGGTTCGCACGCGAGAGAAAGCACAAAGGGCGTCGAACCAAGGAACGGTCGCCTCGTTTCCGCGTGGGAAAAAGGTCTCAGTGGCGGGAAAAGAAAGCAAAACCTACATACGAGAGAGCTGAACATGTACATTTTCTAATATTGG